AGCAAATTTTAATTTCGGTTCAATTTTCTTTTCATTAATCGCCATTAATAGCCGAATCCGCCTTCATATTTTTTTTTTCAAAGTAAATACAATATGTATAGAAAAATATCAATTACTTTATGATTGAACTGCAGTTTTTTTTTGTAAATTATTCGTACTATCTATTTATAGTACAGATAGCTAGGCTCCCATTCATTTTCTTCTGAAGAGGGGTGCATAGTTAGTAGCGCACAAAGGACCTCCCTCTCGTATATTTTCTTATGAAGGGCGCATTATTTTTAGCAGTCCACAGATGCTAGATATCTTAAGACGGCCCCGATATAACATTGTTGGAGGTGTATAGAAAACAAGAAATAAAAGTCATCTTATCTAATAAACTGGTAACGGTAAAAATGTCACGATTTTAGACTTCCTAACGAAATTAGTCATATTTAAATCAAAATTGTTACGCTTGTTTTATAATTATTACGTCACAGTAAAATAGGGGGTCGAAATAACTCTTGAAGGGGAGAGTTTAATGACCCCCATTTAACACCACGGATCTTGGCCCATTGACCACAACAATGTATTTACCTCTTGGTCATAATATTTTTTATAATAACAGATGCTCCATACATCAACAATACTTTGTTTGTTTTTTAAACTACGCAACCCTGATAACAATTCAAAAAGAACATAATTGCTATCACACATAATAAAAACAAATGTATATTGTTTTTCTTGTCATTATCAGTTTCTTAAAATAATAAATAACAAAATAATTATCGTTGCCATATAATGACGCACTTCAGACAACAGTTTTATTGCGCATTTATATTTAATCCAAGAAAAGAAAGTTTGTCAATGAAAGGTTTCAATTACGTGAAATGATTCAGCAAATAAACTAAATTAGACACCGGTGGCAGTCGAAATCCCGACAATATCTTTTATTATTAAAATTTCTACAACAAACTTTTTGAATTATTTCGGAGCGTTGTCACCATAAACTACATTTTTATAACTTAAAAATAAAAAAAGTAAACAAAACTGTTTAAAAATGAGAGTTTGTTGTGTCTAACCATTATAAGTGTTATTGTTTATAGAGAAAAATATAAACTATATATTTATATTTTTTATTTATGTATGTATAATATGGGTCTATATCGCAAGCCCGACAACCGAAAGACCGTCTATTGAAATCCCGATGTATTAAAGTCCCGACGCTTGAAATCCCGACTACCATAATCCCGACAATCAAAATCCCGACTATATCGAAATCCTGACTACCATAATCCCGATTATATCGAAATCCCGACTACCATAAAAATGTTATTGTAAAAATTTATAATAATAAAAGACACTGTAGGGATTTTGATTGTCGGGATTTCGATACACTCGGGATTTCGAATTTCGGGATTTCGAACGTCGGGATTTCGAACGTTGGGATTTCGGTTGTTGGGCTTGCGATTGCCACCGATATAATATAGATCATTTCAAAAATTCAACGCTCAAGTTTTTTTCCTATTTCTAGAATACATCGGGGAGTTGTGATTAGGAGTAGGGCTTTGTTTATATTGATGATTAAGCGTCTCACGGAATTCGGAGTATTAAAAAAAGTATCCGAATTCCTACGTATCTATTGGATTGTTTACGCTTGTTGGAGGTTTCTTTGTACTTTTGTATTTGTCTATACAATAAGACGTATAGACTAACAGACTTCTTAAATACATAATTTTTATCTCTAACAATAATAATAATAAAGGTTAGACACAATAAACTCTCATTTTTAAAGAATTTTGTTTACTTTTTTTATTAAAAATATTTGTTTTTATTTTCAAGTTATAAAAATGTAGTAGATGTTATTTTAGAAATTTTAATAATAAAAGATACTGTCGAGATTTTAGTACAGTCGGGATTATAGTTGTTGGGATTTTGATACTATCGGGATTTAGATACAGTCGAGATTTTGATACTATCGGGAATTCGAATGTCAAGAATTTGACGGGATTTCGGATGTCGGGATTTCGTTATAGACACACAGAATATGGATATAATACAATATATTATCTACTATATTTTGTAGATTATTTAAATGTAATGACTATTAACAGGGTCTAAGATATTTGATGATTGACCCAAAAATGATTGACGACTGTCATACAGTTGCCGAATTTAAATCGGCGCCTAGGTTGGACCATTACATACAATTTTTGCTTAAATAATTCATAGGAAAACTTAAATTAAATTTAAAGTCCATTCTGGGGAAACAAGTTGAATTGATTAAATGCATACACTTAAAAACGAATAGCTTGCAAAATTTCGTAATCTGATTAGAATCATAAAACAAAAAATACATTAGGCGGTGAATAACAAAATTCTGTATATAACGGCGATTCACAAAACAAATCCACTACGTTACTTGTACAAATATACACGCAATAAACTTAACGAAAACTACTGTGTGACTTATGAAATTATTATACAAGTAAAAACTTTCACACAACGGCGTACGCTAATTACTATTCGGAATACAAATTCATTTTGTCGGACTCATTTATACTCTGAAAGAGCCCATTTGAAATTAATACAAAATAATAGTTAATGTTCATGATTTTTTTCTTAATATTCTTAAACTTTATTACTTGTTTATCGTTGTTGACTCATTAGATGAATGACTTAGACAATTAGAACAACAATATGTAATATAATAACTATACAGTTAATGACCAATACATTACAAAATAAATACCAAATCAATATTGACTGGAAAAAATGAATATTATTCCATGTGATTATTTTTTTCCACAGAAATTTTTCGAATTAGTAAATAGTAAACATTGAATTTTAGTTTATTGAATTTTTATTATTTGATTATCAAGTATATTATAAGAAATTTGCTTATTTTAAATAAAAATTAAATAAGGAATTAAATGAAGTGTTTTGAATCGTTGTTAAAAAATTAATAATAATTATTATTATTATACCTAAGGCCACCTCAGCTAGGACAGAAACCTAGCGTAGATCACATCGGGATTAAGCCAACTTTTGCCCTATTTTGTTATTATATAAGCATAAAGCAGTTATTGTTATTGACCGTAGATCTTTCCGCCTTCCTCAATACCTGTATTCTTCTTTTCAATTAGACCGTAATAAATCGATTTTAGTTCATTCTAATTTATTATCTATATCTATCATCATGTCAAGAAAGTAAACAATGGTATTGTAATCGTAATAAAATGTTCTGCTCTGATTTATTTCAAGTTGACGGTTTACTTTCGTTTCGAAATATTGATAAAAAAAATTATCCAAAATCCTTCAATGATTCCTTTCCAAGATCAGTGACGATTATGTTCATTGGGCGGTGAAGATTACAAGGTATGTATTTTAGGTGAATATTATTGCGTCGCTAAAAGAACGCAAGATCTTGAACCACTTTTCTATTTTTACTGTTCGTGGAGGTTATCGTTAGATTTTTAATTTTTTTTTATGTATTACGAATACAGAAGATCCTTGCATACAATTTCATTAATCTTACCACACAATATTATTGCAAGAATGCACGACGTGAGCTATTTTGTTGTCGTGTTTGTATGATACAAAAAAATCTGAGAATGATAACATAAGAAATAAGACGTGCATTGGTTTTGTAAACAAAATGGAGAAGGTTACATTGTTACCTTGATTTCTTTGCTGATACAAATCGGATTGTCGATTTGCTGCTGTTCATGGCCAACATCGAAACATAAAGCATTCGTTAATACCATTTTCATGTCAGTCAATGCGAATATCTACTACAAAATAGTATTTATAAATTTTAATACAGTATTTGCAAACCGTGAGACTATAATATTGTAAATAAAAGTGCATGCATCGATTGTTTACACAGTTTTGTTTTTGTACATAATTTTGGCTACAAATGTACTATAGTTTTGATCCAAACATCTGCTCTTTGTTTTATACCAGATTCGAGGTATTTTGATCAAGGTGTGGTCAAACGAATTAGGAATTTTGAGTGAGCGATGGGGTGAGTGATCTTCTAGAGTGTGGGGTGTCTGCTAGCAGCACATGACTAACTATAGAACAATCCATAAAACAACAGACGCATTTCAATCAGTAACAGACATTAAAAAGAGACAAAGTGTTGGTTTCGATGGAACTGCATTCGAATTGGTTATTATGTACGTCAAAGGACATTAAAATTCAAGCAAAAAAATTAAAAAAATCTTATTAGATTTCCGTTAAACATAACTTTATTATCTACATTTTGTATATTAAGAATCATCCGTTACTATATAACGGAGCAACGATCAAAATAACAAATGATATTAATATTTAATTTTGACAAACAATAAATAAGATGTTGCAAAATATTTGTTTCATATTTCTGTAACGGACGATGGCAGTTAGTCGTATAATCTAATCTATTGATAAACTCAGTCGGTCGTTAGCAATTGGCGGGACTTTTTTAAACGTTCCGCGTAACTGGGTCATGTGTTCTTATAATTTACTCAACAAATGATCAAATGTTATACGCGGTGACGATATCCGTATTTCCAGTAACTGGCGATGACTAGCAATTTGAGAGGTGCGTTCATACACCGTAGCATAATAATATACTTTTCATTTAACAGCAAATTAAATTGGATCTATTAGAAAGAGGATTGAATTTGTTTGACAAAACTGGCAATAAATGTTTAAATAATAATAACAAGAACGATATATGAAATAATCAATCATCCTGCGGATATACTGAACGTCCTGAGCTTGTTGATTCTTGTTTACGAATTCTGAATTTGAGCTGTATGTACTACGTCATAAGACTACGTAAATGAAGAGAGTTCAATACAGAGGATTCTGACTCTTTAGTCCCCTTAGTTTACAGTCTGGTTTCGTATAGTATGTCAAAAGCTACCCCCACTTCAGGTTTTCTGATGTAATTCTCTGCACACGAATATAAGCCTTATGTACGAGTACATTAGTAAAATAGAATGTTCCCGTTTCGTTGCATAAGCTACTAGAACAATCTAGGACAGGGTTCCTCCTCAACGAAGTCAGTCCGTTGTTTGTAAATGGTACCGAGTGTCGTTTCAATTATCTTGAAAATAGCAAAAACTAAATCCTAAGGGTGATATACAGTTTGCTGAACATATAAGCATCCGGGTAAGGTTATTACTATTATTTTGATCCTATACTGTCCCAGTACGAAATCGGTTCCTAAAAGACGTTCTTTTGTTCGCAAGAAATATAAAGTTTTTTCTTTGTTTCTTTAAGTCGATATAAAAGTCGAAAAGTGAACTGATAGGACTGATTTGTTTTTCGTGAGCTATATTCTCACACTAATCTAAACTGGGTTGTATTTGTAGACACTGGGCCTGCTCTAACTTTTGCTGTGAATGCGAATAATGGAAAATTGATTACAATCAAAAAAAGGGTTAATTTCGCATTCCATCATGAACAACAGGAGCAAGGGAAGGGGCCGGCCTGGCCCGGATGCTATCAACATCAAGCATATCGTTTATGAACTGGAGAAGGCTTTAAATGTAGAAGAAAAGTATATGACAAATTTATTTGTCGCTGACCAAAATTCCGGAGAAGATGCCTTACTAGCTAGGGATGCTGCAGCTCGCAAGCTCAGGTTCCTTAAGACTTGGTTCGACTTGTCGAGCCAAGTATTTCTCACCGCCATCAATCTTTTAGACCGTTTTTTGACCAAAATGAAGGTAAGTCAACCGAAATTTATTGTTCTCACGTGATTGCGAATATTTCGCGGACAGTCCAAAGTATTTTCCAATTGAATTTGCACAAAACAAGTTGATACTTGCCCGTCTCTGTTCAAGGTCTTTAACCTTGTAGAAAAAAACGGTTAATTTCTTTTATTAAATACAAATAAATGTCAGCCTACAATCTACCAATAATAGTCGTTATCGTCGGTAAGTAATTACGAGTTTATATTCAGACGATTCTTTTGTGTTCTCATCGGTTCGAGTCAGGCGCATAAAATCAAGTAAGAATCCAGTTGGACTTGTTTGAACTTGTCAGGACTTGTTGGATAACGTCTACGAACCCGCCAATTGTAAACTATTCTTATCTCTATGTACGCACCATTTAGTGATATTCGATGTCTCTCTATTCCTCGAAATAGATACGTATAATGTTTTTCCTAATATTCGCTGGCCTTGGACGTTGTCATTTCAAGAAAAATCGCGTAAATAAAAGTTCAACTCGGTGATGAAACGAAATCGGACGCTCGGGAATCGTATATTTTTAAGTAGCTCACGCGATTTTTTCCAGATTATTTATGCCACAGCTTTATATTTCTTTATTACTTCACTAGATAGACATTGTACTTATTTTTTTTTATCATGATTAACGGATGACGTAACTAATAAATATTTTAATAAAATCCCACACAAATAAAGTTTACACAACGTTTATAAAAATGACTAATTTCGTGAAAGTATTATATTTTTTCGATTTTTAATTATTGTAAATGTCTAGGCCAATTGCACCAATTGATGGCAAAAATAGGGTCATAATTATCATTAATTGAACGATGATTGTGTTCTCTCAGTGCCATATATAACTTTTTTTGTATCTGTTTTAGGTTAAACCGTCGCATCTGGGCTGTGTTTCGATAAGTTGCTTGTATGTAGCCTCCGAGTTGCACAAGTGTCAAATAAACCCTTCACAATTAGTGTCCATATCGCAAACAAAATGCAGGGTATCAGATCTAGATCGGATGAGCGACATCATCAGAGAAAAATTGGGCTTAGAGAGAGGGGACGCACCAATCACTGCCTTCAATTATCTAAATCATTATTTAAAAGTATTAGAATGCGCCGCCAAGCAGCTTAAGGTCAAATCCCAGTTCAGCACAATACTGCAGGTAAATTTAAAATCATAAATCCTCATTTCATTGAAATCCAGGATTACAACACTTTATTTTCAAACCAAGTTTCACAACGTCTAATCGCGGATCAGTTGATTAATATTAAATAAATACTCATCCCATAACAACAATTTGATATTGCGTTTCTGCCAATAGATGATAATTTACTTGGCCTATTGATTGAAACACGATGTGGATGACAAATGACTAATTATTATTTTCATTTTACAGAGGAAAAATCTATTAACTCGTTTAGAAGTAGTTATGTTAGATTCAGAATGCGCGTGCATGAGGCCGAGTATTATTGCCCTCAGCATGATCCAATCTCGATTGGAGAAGTTCATGTTTGCTGAGGTACCGTGCAAGCAATACGTATCCGTCGAAATGTACAGATTCCTATCTGTGATCAACGAACTCCAAATCATAAGCACGGTAAGAAAAACGTCTTATAACTCGAATAATTGCAATATTTATTAAATTTTATTCTATTTTTTAGATGCTTCCACATGAATATGCCTTGCGTTACGGCAAATTGAAGAATGTTGTTCAGAATTACGACAATAACATCCGTACTGCCCCTCCATCTCGTCTGAAGTGGCGTCTATCTCTACGACTTAACACCTTGAGGCCATTGGTCAACTTCCGAACTAATCTCTTCTTAATTAGAGAATAAGTCTCAAAATAAAAGTAAAAAAAAAAGATACAAACCGTGATAAAAAATTTAAAAAATATATAATATTTAGTGATCATTGCATAAACAATATATATATATGTATATATATTTATATATATATATATTTATATAAATATATATACACAATATTTATATAAATATATTAACTTTAAAGCAAACAAAAAAATCTCACAAAAAAAAGTATTTTATTTTTGATGTTTATTAATTTATTATTCTATAATTACTTATAGTAACACTTAAATTATTATATTTTGTTGTATTTAGATATAAGAGAGAAAAAGAAATATGATTCAATGTTTAACATTAAGTACAAAATTTATAAATTATATATTGTATCAAAGAAAATGATGTATTGACGAATCGTTATGCACAGGCGTAAAAAATAATTTCTTGCTCTAAGCAAGATTTTATTTTTATCTTTATATAACGCAATGTTAAAAAAAAGTGATTTCCAATTGGCATTTTTATCTTGTTTTCTTTTTAAAATTATATTGTTTCTACTAGTCATGTACTGTTACCAATAATTGTTTATACCACAGTGAACTTTTTCTAACAGACAAATGGGTTTCCAAACTTTTTTTTTTGTACAATATTTAGTCGTTCCATATATATTATATATATTAATTTAAGAATAAAAAAGTGGCAACATTTATTTCTACCTAGCTGTAATATTCTCGATGTCTTAGCCAATCCGAATAAAATTAACATTCCAAGGTCCGTCCATGGATGCGGCGCAACCACAGCATCCATGGATGATCCATGGACATGCGCTCGATAAACATATTACATATTCAATCGGATTTACTGCAAATGAAATATCTTTATTTTAATAAAACTTTTATATATTAATAACAGATTGTTGAGACACAGATTTCATTTTTTGATATGATAATAACAACTTCCTTCAACAGTAAGATATGTGTGATTTACTACCTATATACAAACAATAACAAGTTTTGAAATATATGAGATGTACTTATATAGACAGCTACCATATCAGATTGTATTGGAGTAGGTCACGTATATCAAAAAGCCATAAACATATTTTGTTCGAAATAAAGATAACTCATTGATTCAATGAGATAAGATAGCAATGTTCTTTTCCTTTACTACTTTCGTTATATTGATATACCCTGACATATTCACATTCAAAGGCGTCGTTATGGTTATGACCGCTCTCTTTTTTCTCTCGGATGTTTTTTAAATATTACTCCATTTTATATTTATGCCCGGGTCATAAACTTTACTGAAATATAAGCAAAGCATGGCTATAATAAGTAAACAAATAATTCAAAAAGTTCATTTACATTTTTTAAATAAAACAAACTATGATCAAACTAAAGTACGTATTCTGATGAGTATATAATTGAATAATTTTTACATAACCTTAGGCTACGCTAAATGGTGAATTGAAATCAATAATATACGCTTTGTTCTATTTAGTATATTTGTTTCATTGTGCTATAGATTGAGATATGAGAACAAAGAAAAATGTATGACAATTTTTATTTAATAAATTTTACAACCCATGGCTTTTGCTTTACTGAGCCATGGTCCACGACCAATGTAACAACCAGTTAATCTTCTCAATCCTGTGAAAGACGTCCTGCCATGAAGCACTCTCCAGTTATCGATGAAAACTATAGTTCCTGGCTGTAATTTGAATATCCACTGATTCTCAGTGCTATTCAATTCCATACCTAACAATTTATATGACTTGTAGAACTGTTGAATATCTTCATAATTGATCGTCGTAAGATTAGCGCGATCGTATATGTTATACCTAATTTGGTATAGTTCTTTAGTGTATGGATGGACTTTCAACACAGGTTCAATAGAATTGTAATGAATATCCTTATCGATATACTCCGATTCTATTGGGTTGTTGCACAAAAAATCGTAGCATTCTTTATGCTGAAGCTCCAGATTTTTCGCAGCGTTGAATCCATCAACTAGGATGGTTTCACCTCCTTCGCCGTCATGAGATAATATATGGAATATTTGCAACCTAGAGCAATTATAATAAATATGTGTAATCAGATAATAACGTATATACATCATGCTGGACTTTAGCCTACCCGGATGCTTCTGTAAAGTATGTGTTATCAGTATGAACACCGAGAGGAATGCTCGTATAAGCAGTGTCATTGTATTTGTAATCGGTCGAAACCTCCCACATCTCGCCAAACATTGTTTTCTCTACGAATGCAACGCGTTTTGCAATCTCTTCCGTTGATTCCAACGTACTATTAGCCTTAAACAAGTCAATTAAAAAAAATATATCACAAAATATCCATACAAACGTACCCCAGTTACAAATCCAAACCCATATTTCAAAATGCTACTCAGCAATTTAGTGACTCCAATATTATCCTTTCTCAAAATCTCATTTGCTTCCACTTTAGAATCACTGAAATTTCCTACGCTGTTCTTATTCCAAAGTACCGTCTGCTTTTTGCTACTTTTGTCTCCGAATTCTAAACTTTGAAGCCATGGTAGCGAATACACCGTCTCGTGTCCATCTTGCCCTGCAAATTATATTCGTATTACTACTGCTTGCAATTTTCAATTGTAATTACATTTTATCTTTAAATTGTCTCCGGATTTCTGGCAGTCGGTCGGCTTTATGTCCAGTGCAATTTCGTTAATATCAGAAGCTATTTGGAAGGTCTTTCGATTATAACATTTCTCACACCTGCAATGATCCCTTAGCCATATGTAATTATATTTGAGAACTTTATTTTCAAAGTTTATCTCCAAGTGATTTCCATGAGTACTTAAAAATCCTAAAATAGAAATTTACATTAAATTTACTCTTTTTATAAAGAGACGTCTGCACATCATTTTGTACAATCATTAAGGCTATCTAAATAAATTTAATGGAATCATATTTTTATGTAAATAAAAGAGAGACTGTGTTTATTAAGAATAAAAACATGTATTGTATAATTATATACAAAGGACTACTGTCCGTGTCTTTTTTTCACCAATGTTTATAGTAAAATATATATATATATCAATAAATGTAATTTTCTGTAAACATGTAGACATTACATTTATTGAAATACTAAAATATATAATATTGTTTATTCTAAGTCATAAATAAGTAGACAAAAATATGAAATATAAAAAGCGCATCAAGTTTCTTTGTTATAAAAATTAGATTGAACGATTGGACATTTTAGTAATAAGAACAATAAAAAAGTCTGATAAATTATTACCAAAAAGAAAATGAAACATGTCTACTGAAAAACCTAGGGTTTTCCGTCTATATATTATTATTTTTTTTCGTGTAGATCAAAATCTTTCTGTCAAAAATTATAAAACTTGTATTTAAATATAGTTGCTAATGCAATTACTTATTTTAATTTTATCACTAAAATGCATATACCTATTATGCAATAAAAATTATTATTGATGTTACTTTGTAAAATAATTTAGTAACCAATTAATGAATATTTTAAGTTAGACATAGATATTTCAATAAAAAAAACTTACTTTCCAGATTTTTAGTAGTGGATAAGAGAGCTTTCCGTGCGTGAAACATGTTGGAGTGTCACAGTGGTTAACGATTTCAGTCTCGTTTAAGAATCATCCGATAACCGATAAGGAGAGTATTTATAAATAAATACACAAGATGTATTAACGTAATAAGTGTAATTATATTCATAAAATATGTTATACAAGATTATAAAATACAGTTTTTTGTTTGTTTATTTTCAGTCACACAATTAAGTAGGTATCACAAGGATACATAAATATTCAACAATAAGTATTAAATGTAAGTACATAAAAAATGTTGCCATGGATAAGTACGATCAATTAGTTAGTGAACTCCATATTTCTATGAACAGTTACTGGTGCAATGATGCAGTTTCTCGGCAACGAAGTTATTTGTAGATCAGTCGATAAATTTTTTTTGTTCTTGTCCAACAAACGTGTGGGGCGCTGCTTGGATGATACAGAAGTGTTTATGGAAGCGGCATCAGAAGTGCAATCGTCTTCCAATGAATCTATTTCTAAAGGAGCGAATGACAAATGCTCAGACTCATCATGAGGAGTCATCGTCGAATAGCCGTGATCAGAATCAGCGGCTGTTACTGGCCTACAATATCCCGTAGACACGCAGTATGGTGACAAAGGTTCTATCTTCTTATTGTCCTGGAGCAGCTTATCCTGATGATTATCCAGCTCGTGATAATCGTCGCTAATGTGTAGATCGCTCATACGAACATGATTCTCCTGCGTAGAGGTCAAGTAAAATCTTTCCACCGTGGGTGCCGTATAAGAGCGATAGCAGATGAAGGAAAATATTAATATTAAACAAACGGCCAAGCCTGTTCCAATAACTGGACCGATTGGCGAATAACCGGAACCCATTAGATCTTCGGAGTCTAGAACTCGCTCTGTAGAATCGCCATAAGGTGTAAGCGAACCCAAAATGCCGTTGAAACAAGTTTGTATGGATGTGCAAAAGGGGTTAGCTAGAATCGTTTCACCGTCCACATCAATCTGACACCACTCACATCCCAAGATTCCTAAGCATGCTTCATAGGTCGACAATTCTTCGCATGTAATTTTAATGCAAGGCTTCAGCTCATCTTCAATATTGAGGAATACTTCACGTGGTACTGAAAATGTCTGTTCCGGCACCGTAGGGCACAGTTGATTATCTGGTAGAGTTTTATTGGGATATGTGCACGTGTCCAGATTCAATGGGCATTCGCATGGACATTCGCATTCTTTTTGTTCCATTCTATTGCAGTTCAAGCACAATCTGCTTATCATATTACATGGACAGAAGGTGGCGACAACTCCATTGGTAGCATTTACAACACCTATAAAAACATTCGTTCCCTCGACAGCTGCCACCTGGTATTTGGCGCTATGCTCTCCATGAACTGCATTTACCAATACATGGTCTAAACTGGTGTTTAAAATATAATACCTCTGTATGGTCCCATCCGCGTAATTATTACACAGGACTTTTTTCACAAAATGGACATGATTTAAAATGTCATTAGCAACTAGAGATTCTTTATGTATTATATGTTGTTGTTCTATTGGTCCATGACCGTTAGGATCGATGAGATTAGGATGGTATATTAAATAACCATGATTGTTCATCATAAAACATTTCAGTTGTTTCTCTTTGCAGAACGGCATATTGTCTATTATTAATTTGTAAATATATCCAAAAGTTAGGTCCATTGCCACAATGGCATGCTCAGTGGCATACGCAATTGTTACTATATAACCTGCGCCTCCAGCATCTAAGTACGGGGGTGTCAGTATAGTTTTAAACCTGTTTTCTACAGCTTGCAGGAACCAAGTCCTCTTAGTCGGCTCAAATTCCGGCGAAATTATACCACCCGGAAACATTTCGAGAACTCCCGTCGGAGAAGTCACATACCTCCTAACTATATATTTCCTTTTCAGACCTTCCAAGTGTTGCGTCCTCAAATATTCTAAAAAATGAGCCAACGTAGCCACATCGTCTCTAATTTCTTCACGCAATCCAGGGTTCGATAAATATCTAGTATTGTCTTTCAGAAATGCCATCGACTTTTGAACAGTTAGCGGTGAGAAGCTGGACGATGTAGAGGAATAAATGTAAGTGGTAGGAGATTGAAAGCATGAAGCGCTTAAATACAATGTACCAGCGTCCATAGTCGCTAATTGATTGAAATGTCTACACAATGTAGACGTTGGAATGATATCCAAACGATGATGTACTAGTTGGTTAGTAGTGGGAAACCAGTTGACTTTGTAAGGGCGTTTCGGTGGCATAACATTCTCTTTAACCACGATACAAATTACATATATATTGGACACCCTCCTCCAATGATAAAGAAGCTTAAAGTAGATTTGCAATTAGTGAAATGAGGGTAGTATTCGGGAGTAGACATACCGTATCGTTTTTGTCTGAAATTTGAAACTGGCCTCTCGTCTGATTCAGCAACATAGGTCGCACTTCATTGAAATTATCGGCTTTTTCCAAATATGATATATCCACATAATTTGGCTGACCTTGTACTGACATTGGTCGTGCATAGGAAGGATGCATTATTGCAATACCTAAAACATAAAAAGATTAATATGTGCTTCATAGTAACGTATTTCATTACCTGCGATGTTGATTAAAAATGCATAAGTATAATCATTATAATTACTGTAATAAGTAATATCTTCCACGAGATTTGCCAACAGCAAGTCCATTCCTAAAACCCCGAACTCTCCAGACGCACCACATGGAACCGTAGCACTTAGTATCAGTTCTAAAGAGGATTATAACAAAATTACAATATAGTATAAATGTGTAGAAGAGAAAATTACCTTTTGAAAAAGAATCCCATATTGGAAGAGAAATCTGAAAATCCAAATCATACATTGTTGTCTCATCTTCAAGTGTGTTGAAAAACCTGGCGACTGCCAAACCTACGCCTTGCGTAGAGTTAACCATGAGCATAATACCCCGATTTACATTATAATCGTTATCAATTTTGTACTTAGAATAGTTCTGCTCGGCAACATCGCGCAAAAAATGCGTTTCGTACATGATCGGCTTCGATTCTTAAAATTCTTCAATTACTAAATTGTATTACAAAGTATGTTCAATACCATGATACTTTAAATATAAGCTATATATCAATGATTGTGTACAAAGAAAGAACACATATTTTTTAAAACAAAGTCATACTACTAGAAAAATTTAGATGACGCAACTGGGGTACCTAGATCAATCATAGCTTCTAAATTATTGTATCATGATATGGACTTCGAATACAAACCATCAATTACCGCACAGGTATTTATGATTATCGGGTTTTTAATACCCTCAAGATTTTTAGAAATAGTCTCTAAAACTGTTTTCGATTCGGTTAAAGATGATAGTAATCCTCTGCTTACATATAGAATCATTATAGATTCATTACTTGGTATTTTACTGTACTTTATTATCTGTAATGCTTCTTTGAGACCCAAACTATGATTGGTGGCACCTAAAACAGTTATTTTTTTTAATGCTGATCATATGAAAATCTTATTTTTTTTTTTAAACACAAAGATTAGTGATTAATGTTTAAACTCAAATAATACATATTGAGTTGGTGCATAATTATCAGACAATTTTTAGTTGTTTTTTATTAATAAAAATTGCTGTTGCAATGAGTAAATATTAATGTATCATTATATTAATGTTACAATGAATATCAAAGCAAATCATATTTAATATAAATTAAATCTTACCTGTTCCTTTTGTAAGGGAATTAATAAATCTATAAAGATACTGTTTATTATTTTTGCTGGCTGATGAAATATAATAAGTTTCTCCCTTATAATGATGTACTGAACAATTATCTAATAAGTATGGCAATTTGTAGACATCAGATAGAGCCAATAGTCCAATATTGTCATTATCATTCAATACTGAAATCACTTGCTTTGCTAAAAATATAATAATGTGAAAGATATTTATATGTATATTAAATAAAGCTATTACCAATGCTATTGACAATTTTAAACTGCTGTTTACTAAGAGACCCTCCATGATCCAATAGTAACAAAATGTTTTTATGTTTATGTTTAATACGAGACATATATGTAGACCATAATAATGAATGGTTATGATAATTACAATTACTTATATCTGCATTATGATGATTTAGAACATCCATATTTGATAAGAAATACTTCTGCTTTATGGCATCTTTTAATTTCTTATTCTGAACTTTCTGCTTCTTCAAAACTAAAATAAATAGATAAAATATGTAAAAGTTTAAATTATTATTTGATATAAACATTACCTTGTTTAATATTAAATGGTTGTTCTATATAAATATTTGTTGGATTTATGATTGTATTTGAAATTTCAAACTCATCTAAAATGTAATCTCTTTCATTGCATGGGATTATAGAGGAAGTGAATGAAGAAATATTTGTAATTGTGTAATAATACTCAATGAATTTACGAGTTTCATTCAATATTGAATGTGTTTCATTGATTCTACTTTCAATTTGGTTGCTTATCCTGGCTAACCTCTTTTCAACATCTTGCAGAGAGCTTGTATATTTAAACTTCTTATACATTTGCTAAAATTGAAATCAATTAGTTTTAAATTGTTGTTTATATATCATATAAGGTTACCTGCATAAAAGCAATTCCCATTTCTTCATTGCTTGTTTTTTGGATATCCTCAGACAATTGCACAGAAATATTTTGTAAATAGTAACCCTGTATGCTTTCTACAATTTGTACTTTACTTTTGGATGTAACATTTATATGAAACTTTCCAAAACTCATAGAAAATGCACAAATGAAAAGAAAAATTGTAAGTTTCTGGTCAGTTACACAGTGCATCATAATTGATACTATTATTATTCCATTATTAATGCTACATTTGTTATAAATGCACTAAATTTGTATTATTGTTTCAAAACGCTTACTTCCTTTATATATATATATTATAAAATGTAAAACACAACAATTGACTATAATACACAAAATTATAAGTAAATAAACATGGCACCCCGAATTACAAGCAATTTCAATCGATATATTGGCACCACTGATTTTTGTTTTAGATTTTATGACGAAACATTTGGCTACACTGAATGTATATATAATACCGACACAAGATATAGATCAAATACTGAGACGTAGCCATAATGGTTTCAGTCCATCAGAATGCGCTTGCGCTTATTTACTTTTGGGAACGGTAATGGCGATGACTATTTTTGACGCCATTGTTTCAAAAACTTTTGTGATCTGTGGTAATAAATGCATAACCTATATTTATTATGATTTATTATTGATTTTGGTTTTATTTTAGAAAGACATCTCAATAATTTATAGACGTATTTATTTCCTTATCCACTCTAGTGCCCTAGGTCCGAGAAAATGTTAGGTTAGGTGAAGTTGCCCTAAGGTTTTATATTTAAAAATACATACAAACAACTTTGTAATATGGTATTTTCATATCCAGTAGTCTAGGTCAGGTTGTCCTAGGTCCAAGAAAATGTTAGGTGAAGTTGCCCTAAAGTTTTATTTTTAATAATACATAGAAACAAATTTGATAATGTGGGTATTTTCATATCCACTGGTCCAGGTCAAGTGGCGGTGTTTGTTTTTTAATACTTAAAAACAATTTGGTGATATGGGTATTTTCACATCCACTCAAAACTACTATTTTGGGCTAAAGAAAGGAACGTGTGCAGCTTCACAATGAAAACCGCATTTAAAATGAACAAGAAACACTCAACAACACATATCAGAAAGGTACAGTTAGGTAAAATCGGCTACATCTCGCGGTGCTAGCCTTGATCGTCAGATGGCGGCCGTTTGTTCAATTAGAAAACAAATAGTAGTCATTAGTGTTTTGCGTCAACAGACTCGCTAAGTTACGCAGTTAATCACTCATTTCATTCAATCAAAATAAGTAATGGAATAACTACAATACAAATTTATGCTTACGTAAGCAAACATGGTGAATTGAACAAATTTATAATCAGCGTTAGTACTTACATACAGGGGGACCAAGTCATATGAGAAATTTGTTGTAAACCCACTGCGGTGGCGTTCCTTAGTACATTGGAAAGCACATAGCGCGGCGCAAATATAATAGCGCCAAATTATTTGAAATTTCAAAAAATAAACAACTTTCGCATACATTTTGCCTATATTTACTTTATCCTTTCAAATAGTTTTTATTGCTTTAACGTTTTCGCACTATTTGAATTTGGAACCACGAATGCTTGACTACTTTTAACCGAGTTTGTTTTGATCCAAATAAGTTTAATTATTATTATTAAACATTTTAGTCTTTCTTAAGACTTGTATTACTAGTGATTAGTCTATTAATTAGTGAGTATTGTTAAATTAGTAGAATGGCGATAAAATCCTTGTTAGATTTTCTTTTAGCTCTTCATTCTTAAAGTTGTGTTGTAAAGGCCATTGGATATATTTAATTAATTTATTTTAGCTTTCCAGTTTGATTGAAGAAACATTTGTGAGGACTATAAGGTGGGATAAATTTAACTAATTTTTTTTAGGCTATTTAGAATTTCATTTAGGATTTAAATAAACTGAACTACAATACAAGTAAACTCCAGTAAGTGTATATTTAAAATGTATTGCACAAATATAACTATTCAGAAATGATATCCAAAAATATATATGGTACCGAACTTGTAATAATATAAATGAACATTTAGTTGGCTAAATTTACAGAAAAGCCTGTAATTATTTATGTAATTGTATAATTTGCAATAAATAGTAATATTAGATAATATAAAAGTAAATTATATATGTAAAATATCACCTTTAAATGTGGAGAATGTGGATATCAAAGCCATACGAAACGAAGCTCACACTATAAACAGTGAATATTAAGGTTATGTTTGGTTATATTGCTTTCGTTTGAATTAAGGTTCCATGGAGACCACTGAAGGTGGCGCCATTCGATTTTCAAATTTGCGAGGGCACGCCACCACACAGCGTCTTTGGTCCCCTGCTTACATATACCTAATTAAAGGTATATGTAGGTGAAATCCTACATAAGACTAGTAGCAATTAATAAGAAATGAATTAAAGTGTAGAATAACAGGAGTAGATGACCCTTAGCCGTCATGATGATAATTCAGGAAAACAATGGGGAAAAGGCAACAGGAAAGAAGTATAGAAATTTTGGATATGATGTAATTGGTGACCGTAGTGATATATAAAACAGACGCGTGCGCATTAAATGTGCTTGAAAGTATATGAATCTCACTCCTCTCAGTTACGGTATTGGTGACCCTAAATATGCGCTCTGGTGTACCTTGTATATTTGTATCATGCTAGGTACTAAATATTGCGGACAGTTGCGGCACTTCTTCTAACCAACGTCCACGTTTGGTCCCATCCATCCCCATCGCTGTACAATCGTTTTGACGGTTGGTGCGGTGCAGTGTGTCACGAGTTCGTAGTAGCTAACAGCTACAGAAGGTTCCGTCGATTGCGTTTGGTTGAGTTGTCATTTGTGTTCGGTGTGCGAAAGTTTTAATATGTCAGAGAATATCGAGATCCAGACACTCGGTATGAAAGCGAATTTTACTGTCGTCTCGGACAGTCCTATCACCGATCCTGCATCTGCAACGAAGGTACAACAAAACAAAACAAAACATTCTCAGTAATTTGCCAGATGCACCAATTATTTCCAAATTCTATTTAAGGCGGGCGACATTCTTCCATACTTTCTTGACCCACTTCACATAATCATTGCCTCTCTTTCGTTTATCATCTCTCACTCTCCCAAACATACATTCACATCAAAGCGCACTATGGAAATACCTCAATACTAACTGCAGTGGTACAGCTCTCTTTGGTTTTGTTTATTTTCGTTTATACTGTTTCTGTCACTTGCTTGACACACACAAACATACATACGTTACTGTTGTTTTTTTATCGTAACACAATAAATCAATAATGTATCCAAAGGCTTTGCAACGTGCCAATAAATTCGAAATTAATTATTCATATTAATTAGACTCCCCCCATTGTGCAAGACTACAATTATAATTAGCTGAGATAAGTGACAAGCACAATCTCCAGCCAACACCCCCTCCTCTCGTTCGAGCGCTTTTGTGTGTGTGTGTGAATATATCTGTTTATCTGCTGTGATCAGTCAGTGTAGATGCATGTGTTTATGAGTGTATGTGTGTACAAATAATCTGGATGTTTAGAGCTTTGCAAATAAAATTATCACCTTAATTAAAATAATTGAGAGCTGAATCCAAGGCTGCTTTTAATTCAGACAATTCCAGTAATAACTTCTACTTGGAAAAGAAACCATCATTACACAATTCACTAAATAATGGAACAGGTAATTTATATGAAAGCTGCCAAGTATTGGATTGCACTTAAACTGAACATAACTATGCAATTGGAGAGAAAACAAGATGCTAATCCAATTGACCAAATAACAGTGTTGTCATTTTATTGAAATTGAGCAAAGAAAAAGTATTAGATTAATTACCATCACTTAGATGGTTTTTTTTAGAAGCTGTGTAATAATCCATTGATTTATTTAGGGTTTGGAAGGGAGAAAAAGCTTCATTGGCCAAAGATCATTGGTAAGATACATGTTGCTAATGTATGCTTTACCAGACCTGGCCTAAATGAGTTAGGATTTAAGACAGCAATCAAGTTTAAACTATATTGTTTAAACACATATCAACTCTACATCCCATGCATGAAACTAATTTAATATCTATACATGTCATCAGTTTGTTTTATTTCATTAATTATGGTTTAATTGGTTTCACTAATTAAAGAGATTGTGTTGTGATTTGTTCTTATCTTTCAATAATAACAATAAAACACATCATACTTTTATAGATACCCAAGTTAAAGATTTTTATATATTTTTTTTTTGTTATTTCGAGGAATTATGAATTTTTGATAACGCTGGTGTCGTTCTGTTTTCTGACGAATCCATGTTATATAAAAATGTTTTCAGGAGAATAAAACCTCTGGTGCTCTGAAAAAGTCCAGCCGCTATAGAAGCAGATCTCTTTCGGCCTCATCCACCGACTCGTACAGTTCAAGTAACTATCATAAATTGAGGCGCATCGAATAACACTAATTACAGACTCCTGTACAGGAAGCAGCTCCGAGGATGACGACATCTCGCCCAGAGAGAAGATACAGAAGAACTCGGGGGGAAGCAACGACTTCTGTGTACGCAATATTAACCAGCATGCGTTTGGACGACGAGAGATCGAGATCGCCGAGCAAGGTATAGAGATAGGAGCTTCTATACACATGTGTTTCTGTTAGACGTTTGTTATATTTTCTGTATCTTTCACAGAGATGCCCGGAATTATGGCACTGCGGAAAAGGGCCGGCGACGATAAACCCCTTAAGAACGCAAAGGTAATTGGATGCACCCATATCAATGCACAAACGGCTGTCTTAATCGAAACCCTGTCCGCTCTTGGGGCTAGCGTGCGTTGGGCCGCTTGCAATATTTATTCAACTCAGGTAATCAACGCTTTTACGTCACTCCGATGTTTTGTAATGTTAATAAACATATTCTTTTTCTTAGAACGAGGTCGCCGCAGCATTGGCCGAGGCTGGCTTCTCGGTGTTCGCATGGCGCGCTGAGACCGAGGAAGATTTCTGGTGGTGCATCGATAAGTGCATCAACGCCGAGAATTGGCAGCCCAATATAATTCTGGATGATGGAGGAGACGCCACCCATTTGATGCTAAAAAAGTACCCTGCCATGTTCAAGTTGATCAAAGGTTCGTTCTATATTATATTTGGTTATGATAGATTTACGATAGATTTCATGTTTCAGGTATTGTCGAAGAGAGCGTTACAGGTGTGCATCGTCTGTACCAGTTATCCAAGTCTGGTAAGCTCACGGTTCCTGCGATGAATGTCAATGATTCAGTTACTAAAACCAAGTTCGATAACTTATATAGTTGCAGAGAATCCATCATAGACAGGTGCGTGTTTCTGCGTACGATAGTCTAAGAAACAACATTGATTAATTGTTATTTCAGCTTGAAAAGGTCCACCGATGTGATGTTCGGCGGCAAACAGGTCATTGTTTGCGGCTACGGAGAAGTCGGCAAAGGTTGTGCCCAGGGATTAAGAGGCGTGGGCTGTATTGTTTATGTCACGGAAATTGATCCAATTTGCGCTCTACAAGCTAGGTGAGTTAATCGTCAAAATATGTATCTTCTTAAAATAAAATCCACTTAAATGTTTTGTTGTCAGCATGGACGGATACCGTGTCGTTCGGTTGAACGAGGTTATAAGGAACGTTGACATCGTAATTACAGCCACCGGTAATAAAAATGTTGTTACCAGGGAGCATATGGATAAAATGAAGAGTGGATGTATCGTCTGCAACATGGGACACTCGAACACCGAAATTGATGTTGTATGTAGATGTTTAAGATGGCTTTGATCATTGTAAATTGATTCCACAATTATTGTACCTTTTTAGAATAGTTTAAGAACCACCGATTTGACTTGGGAAAAGATTCGTTCGCAAGTTGATCACGTCATTTGGCCTGATGGTAAAAGAATCATTTTATTGGCTGAAGGTAGACTGGTCAATCTAAGCTGCTCCAGTTTATCGTCATTCGTTGTATCCATAACCTCGGCTACACAAGCTCTTGCATTGATAGAACTTTTCAATGCACCACCTAACAGATACAAGTCCGATGTTTATTTATTACCAAAGAAAATGGGTACGTACTTAATGTTTTTCTTTTATTGTCCATCAAATTTATTTTGCATCTTATTTGGATTTCACAATTTGATGAATCATTAATAAACAAGTATAAACATTAGACATAGCAACTCTCACAAATTTTGCAGATACTTACATAATTTAAATCAAAACAAACTGTTATACTTTCGATATATACGTATATTACCAATGATTTTTTTCACAGATGAATATGTGGCAACGTTGCATTTGCCTACATTCGATGCACATCTCACGGAATTAACAGACGATCAAGCAAAATACATGGGTCTTAACAAGGCTGGACCATTTAAACCCAATTATTATCGGTAATAGAAGATGTTCTTGGAGGCACATTTTATTAACTTTTTAAACTTGTTTTTTTCTTATGTTTTTAGATACTAGCAAAGACGGGCATTAGTACTTAGAAAAGCGTCGGTGGGGGGCTTAAGAAGGAAGTAAATTCACACATAATATATAGATATATTTCTCGACATGCTGCGACACAAACAGTTATTTTTTTTTGATAAATATATTACTGTTTCCACGTTCCGACTATAAGAATACAAATTTGCTTATATATTTTCTGAAGAAAAAAAGATGAAGAATCAAATAAACAATTGTGAACTATATATATGGTTCACTTAAAAAAAAATACTAAAGTTCGGCTTTCGTTAGCGAAGTTTTGCCACATAAAAGTAGCTTCGTTCAATAATTGTACATAAATTAATTTTGTACCTGTCACTGTTTTTTTCTTTTGGTATCAAATTCAAGAAAGAAATTTCCTCCTTTCAATTTATATGGGTATATATAAAAAAAAGGAGAGGAAGAAAGACGCTATGTAACTTATATCTGTATTAATAATATATGTAGACTCCGATTTTACTCAACGCAACGTCCCGAAATATGTGCAATGTTAATTATTGACTTTATACAATTTAATAAATAACCAGCAAAAAAAGTTGTGATAATTGATAGTTTACCTGAAACGTTGGATGCCTAAAAATTGGTAACATAATACACTGTGGAACCTCGGTTAACGAACAAAATAACTCTCTTAACGAGCGACGTTTCAAGCGACATATTATGTGTATTTTTGAATATGTTTCACTATACGAGTAAAACTCCGGAAAAGGACAAACGTGTGAATGTTTAATGAAATCGCCAATTACAATCGTAAACGGTTTTCGAGACAAAAGAGTTTATGAAGCAAATTATGTTACAGGCAGAGAGTAGAACCGAAATTAATTTCGTTCCGGTTACTTTCCGTTTCGGTTAAAATTTTAAATCGAGTCGTATATTTGATACCGGTATAAATTTTAGTTCCCAATGATACCGAATTCAGACGAAAATTCTTCTTCCCTCTATCCACCGTCATATTTCTTATACCAACTGTATTGTGATTAAAATTAAATGTCTAGAAGTATATTTTTACATGGAAGAAAGCGATTAATGAATTAATTTAATGAAAAAAAAATGAACCGAAATTAACCGTTATTAATATTTCAATTGAGCAATTTTACGTTACGATTACAGTTACGGTTCTGTTAAAAATTCTGGTTGGTTTCGGTTCGACTCTCGTTACAGGCAAACAAAATATTGCAACCACTAATAATTTATTGTTTATCTACATCAATGATTCTAGGGGTTGTTTGCAACTTAATTATTTTTCTACACATATCCATTCTATGGGGGGTTGTAAAAACTGTTTATGTCCAAAAGGGGGTCGCAAAAAAAATATGTCCAAAAAGGGGAATCATTGATCTACATAATTAAATGTTAATCATATACATGAACGCTGAAATTCCCATTATAAGTGATTGCTACTACTGGTCCTTGACATGTAGTCCCTAACTAAGTGAACTGGCGCTTAGTTTCGACCTCTTTCTCCTATTTCTAAATTGTTTTGCCTACAATTATATTAGATAGTATAATTTGCAAATAAATTCTTAACTATTTTTGAAAACCTCACTTTTATTTTGTTTTCTCTTTGACTGATGAAGCCAGACACAGCTGATGTATACACAAATATATACAAAGAAACATATTATGAAATATACCAGAAGGATTGTATGTTTTTTTGGAAGAGAAGATAAGTAGTTGATTATCTGTGTCGATACGATAATAGCGGATGATCGTGGTATATTGTTTTTTTGAAGTTCAATGTTTTCAATACTTGGGGATTTAAATTTTTAAATGCATTTAAATGTTTTAAAACGCCAACGAAGCGACGTTGCAACGTGGGAGCGTGAATGGCACGGTATTATTTGGAATAGTGGGCAGAGATTGGCCCGCGCTTTTTCGAAGATGGTATGGTCTGTTCAGTGCGCCATCTTTGAATTCTCGCATCGTTTGTTTTGGTTAGGCTTCGTTCGGTAGTGGTGGTGTTGTGATTTTGAAAATTGTGAAATAAAAAGGATGTTTCGTACACCGAAACGCACGAAATTGCAATTGAACGCTAGCGAAGTGACCCCGCCAAACAGGATCTTCAAGATGAAGACACCGGACTCGTCTCCGGCCAACGGGTCTCTTGTTGGTGTTAGTCCAACCTCACTTTCAGCTTTATCACCCAGTGAGACACGAAGAGGCAGGCCCCGAGCTGAAGAACTGAACTCGCTTATCTTGCAAGGTTCCACATCACCCAGCTCAATAAAGTGCACTTATTGCAACCGAGTGTTTCCAAGGGAGAAATCTCTTCAAGCTCATCTTCGGACACATACAGGTAGGTACCACCTTGTACTAAGTTGTACACACTCATTGCCATTGTTACTTTTTTAGGTGAAAAGCCATATGCTTGTGATTACCCCAGGTGTACTAAGAGGTTTGCTCAGTCAGGCCAGCTAAAAACCCATCAACGGCTTCATACTGGAGAGAAACCCTTCATATGTGCAGCTCCCAACTGTGAAAGAAGGTTTACACATGCAAACAGACACTGTCCAGAGCATCCAGAAGGCACCCTAAAGAGATTCAGCTACACATCTAACATGTCAATAGAAAATATTGATGATGAGCAATACAAGAAGGACATTCAGAAATGGATTGATACAGTCAAAAAGTAAGTAGTACTTAAAAAATCTAACTGTTAATGCATAACTTTATTCTAACAAAGTTGAAAACGTTATTAGCCAACTTTTAAATTTATCAACTTCTTTAGTATTGCAAAGAAACTTCATTTTTAATTTCAATGAATGAATATTAAGAATACTAAAAATTGAGCAAACATTTTTTGACGGATATATATTCCATGTAATTGCTTCAGGCTAATAGGTTTAATAATGTAGTGTTTACATTCTTTCAATATTGGAATAATTTTGATTATGTATAACAATGTTTAGAATGCTCACATATTAAATTGTTTGTCCTATTTTAGAAGCGATACCAAGAGTAATTCGACCTGTTCGACGCCGAAAAAATCCAGATTTAATGATACGTGGCATTATAAGAACTTTGACCTTGAGCATAGTGAGAACATCAATCCAAACACTCAATTGGCAAAGATAATCAAGGTCCGATCGTCGCAGGAATTGACATATGGTTTTCACAAGAAGGAGTTAGACGCAGCAAACAGTACACCTACACAAGTATTAAATGATGATTTCAAGTCCCAAAAAGTTCCATATGTAGCCGAAGAGGTTGAAGTTGAAACATCTCCGGTAATGAGCTGCACACGATACACGGAGTTGCCAAAAAAACGCTGGTTGCGAGAAGCATTGGACCAGCAAAGATGGGACAATGAGGCTAATCAAGATCTTGCTTTACCCATCAATTGGGGTGAAGATAGCAGTTTAATTGAATACGAGAATCAGAAACGGCCCACGGTATTAGTCAAGATCGGCAACGGCGATAAAAAAGACATATCTTCGTCGGATATGCAAATTGCCATGGCTTTGGTTGAGCTCAGTAATATTCAACCAAATAATTCAGCCAATTACACCTATTAATTCGTATACAATTTCATGTATATACACTTATTTATTCCTTCTTTTATGTGATATGGTTGTTGTGTTTCATTTGAAACAATGTTTTGTTTACAAATTTTATGTTCTGTCAGTCATTATGTATGACATGGCCCTAATCAGGTTATATTTCTTTAAGTTTTTTTTTTATATAATCTTTGATATTGCATAAATGTTTACTATGTAAACTTATACTTATTTCATATTCTCATTCATAACATAACACCTCATCTACAGATTTATACATGTTTTTTTTTTGTCTACAAAAAAATATTGTACACCATATTTGTAAATTTGATCATTCGCCAATTTTATAACCTATTATCAGATGGCACAATTTTTAATCAGTTTTTTTTTGTGTAATCAGTCTTTCTCTACAATTTCTTTATTAAACACTATTATTTAATATTTATATTAGTGTATTTATTGCTCCTTTATATTACGTAACCCTTACTTTTATATAATTTATATTTGAATAATTCTTTCTTACATATATTTTCATTTCTTTTTAACTAAGGCGTTTCTTAAAAAAATATTACATCTATATTATTCTTAGCGAAAGAACCGAAATCCCGACGTTCGAAAATCTCGACAATGAAAATCCCGAAAGTGTCTTTTATTATCATAAATTTCTACAATAACATTTTTATGGTAGTTGGGATTTCAATAGACGTTTTCTTGGTTGTCTGGGCTTGCGATATAGACCCATTCTTAGGTAGTCCAAAGGGATACAAAGTAGTGCATTTTCTCTGTTGTATATCCTGCATTTCCAGTGAATATGCACTATTCCTTTGATTTTCAGGTAGAAAATATGTGCATATGTACAGCTTGCTCAAATGATTCTGTTAGATGATTTTGAACCAATTCATCAGAAGATTTGCTTTTCATATTTTTGAAAATTTCTCCATATTATTTTGTTTGGATGCACTTTCTCATGTATTTCGTAAATCTTTGACGTATTTTCTTAGTGCGATTTTTTTTATGTGGTCCCTATCTACCGCACAAAAACAGATTTTACTGTATTGCAAAGCCACAATACCAGTAGAAAATCATGACTTTGTGCGTGAGACCCTAAGCGCTACCTGATTTGGAGGCCCTACTAAGAAAATCATAACTTTTTTTTGGCGATTTGGAGGCCCTTATTTGCTGACACCGATGCTTTTCGACTACTACATTGTCCCTACTGCAAGGTACAATTTCTCATACAACAAGGCCCTACGCCAGTGGTTTCCAAACTTGATGTTACTACGTCTCCCCGTCCAATTCATAAAATAGATATAACTTCTGCTAATTTGGAAAATTGCTCACTGTGACTAATATTCCGCCTCCCTTTAGATTAGTCCGCGCCACAGTTTGGAAAACGCTGCCCTACGCTCAAATATTTTTATCTTCAACTTTAAAATCGTTCGTTTTTTTATTAAAATCTGACTAAATTATCATTAATAATATACAAAATGTATTTTATACCTACATACAAAGGGCTAAAGTTTTTCCGCCCTATTTATTATTATTGTTATTATTATGTTTGAATTGTCAGTTGAAGGAGAGGGAGGAGTAACGCAATTTTGACATTTGACAGCATTTGACAGATTGTTTTGTCAGTGGAGTCATTCAGCAGTATTCAGAATTGTATTGTATGTGGAATTACAAAGTGACAATCGACGTGGCATTCTCGATTCCAGTTAAAATATCAGGAAAATTTGAAGCTCGATTAATAAGCATCTTTTATAATAATAATGGGTCTAACGATTTCTAGCGTTTTGACCAAATTATTTGGCAAAAAGCAAATGCGAATCTTGATGGGTAAGGTTATTATAAGGCGATCCAACGTAGCGTTTGTCACCAACAAAATCAGTTCCTAAACCTATCTAATCCTCCTTTTATTTGCAGTCGGATTGGACGCTGCTGGTAAAACCACTATTTTATACAAACTAAAACTAGGAGAAATTGTGACCACAATCCCAACGATTGGTTTCAATGTGGAAACAGTTGAATACAAAAATATTTGTTTTACTGTGTGGGATGTTGGTGGCCAAGACAAAATCAGATTACTCTGGCGCCACTACTTCCAGAATACTCAGGGACTTATTTTTGTTGTTGATTCTAATGACAGGGAACGTATTGGTGAAGCACAACGAGAACTGCAAAACATGGTAAGTACAATTTCAAAAATCAATAGAAAAATATTAATTTTCTTTATTATACAGCTGCAAGAAGATGAACTGCGTGATGCTGTGTTATTGGTGTTTGCCAACAAACAAGATTTACCCAATTCAATGACTGCTGCCGAGCTGACTGATAAATTACAATTGAACCAATTACGCAATCGTCAGGTAAATTAACTCAAATTCTAACTAACAATTTAACTAATTATTATTTTTTATCCAGTGGTACATGCAAGCCACATGTGCAACACAAGGTGATGGCTTGTACGAAGGTCTGGACTGGCTTTCCAACCAACTCGCTAAGAAGTGAAGTGAAGTGAGGACATTTGCCAATTACACCACAACAATCTTTTAGTTTTTCGCGTTTTTGTTGATTGTGCATTTCAGTTTAAGCCCAAAATGTCTGATCAAGATATTTAACAAGTATTTAAGTTTAATCATAATGTTTGTGATTTAAATAAGTATAATTTAATTAATAAAATATTGAATAAAATGTCCACAAGTAAACACCCCATCCATACATATTTTAAAATATCCCAATTAACAGGATCTATTATATGTAAGAGGATGAAAGGAAGGATGATGATAATCAGATTTGTTTATAGCAAATTTATTGGTGTTTCTTGCTTGTAATATCTTCAATATATACACTTGGAGAAATCTGTAACATATTATGTTGATATGTTAACAAGTTGCCATATTACTGTTAGTAATAAATTAATGCGTACGGAAAAGAAATTAGGTTATTTACCGCGCTCTTTGCGTTATTATTAGTATGTAGTCCAAAAACCTGCTATCATTATGACCTCACAATTATTAAAGATATGATGATTTTTTCATTACGTGCGATATTACTATAAAAATAAATAAAAACTTATTGTTCCAAACCATATGCATACAACAGCTATAAATTTAAATTAGTAAACATTTTGCAAAACTGAAAACATTGTCGTTAAGTATATTTACAAAGTAATAAACCAAAATTAAGTACATAATACAATATAATATATTTTAAAAAAGAAAGCATTGAACAATTCGTTACATTACTCTGAAATAATTATTCGATAACATCTCTGAATATTGAGCAATGAAATGGACTGCTAGACAAAATATATTGTATAAAATAATATATTCCAATACAAGAGAATTCAACTGAGGTGCAAAAGTATACCAATAAAAGTTAACGCATTTTGGCAGGAATGATTGAAATTGTATTAAAATGTATTTGGAAATTTTGTTTTTCTTTCTTTCGTTAGAATGTTCATAATGATATTTGTGGTTACAACAAAATACCTGACATAAAAAAAACAGTACCGAATTATTTAATATGCTACAATAAAATAATAAGGATGCGACTGTCGTGCATTAAGAAACAATAAATGAATCGGAAATTAATTGGTTCTCAATTGATAGTCCCCGTTCTGTGTAATGTACCTAACCCATGGTAACGCTTGGTATCCACTTTTCTCGATGATCTTCAAATAACGCACCTAAAACAATACAAGTCAAGTTAGAAGAATAATGAAAATATAATGATGGGACAGTATTACTTGAATGCCAGATGTCGTGAAATATGGAATCTCAAATTTCACTTGTATTGGGGGCTTGCCTTCGCTGTCCTCACACTCCACACTCGGTAGTCCGAAATGGGCCCTCATCAAGTACTCTTTGCCACCGGGAAATGATTTGATAGACCATGTGATAGCGTTCTGTTCTGGTGCATACTTAACGCTGCCTATGGTTGTTTTAAACTTTGGTGAGTCGGCGTCACCTGGAACCGGAATAATGATTTCCACGTTATTGGCGGTGGAACGCCTCTTGAACTGCGATTTAGCCTTGATCATGTATTCCACCCTGCTGTGAGCGTGTCTCTCAATAACTGATTCTATCCAAATCAATGGTTTAACCTGTAAATTAGAACTACTGTTCAGATGGGCGTCCATGGATAACGCGAGTGATGTTACTCACGTGCGTATTCAATCTATAGGACATTAACTCGAATTCGCCGTCCGGTGGTATGAACGAAATGGTCCTATCGTTTTCGAATCTGGACAGCCTCACGCATTGGTGGAACTTGACGTCCTCGAGTTCAACACTCTTTGATTTACCGCGACCGGTGGACTCGAACAAGACTTTGTCGTTTAATCCAAGTCTAAGTTCAGGCATACCAGATAAGTACACGCGCATCTTGATGGCGCCCACAATCTCGCTCCTCAGAACGTTCCCGTTTGCATTGGCCAGCAAGTTTACCGACTCTATAACGTCCAGGAATACCTCATTCTTTCGATACTTGATGCCCTCTGACCGCCAGGACACTGCATTTGTTACAGCCATTGGGATGCGAGGTTGGATTTCTAGCTTGTGCCCCTCCTGGGTGATGTATTCCTGCAAGATCTTGCTGTCAGTAGTCTGGGGATAACCAAAATCTAACAACTCGTCCATTAGCTCATAGATCACAACAAAATTATCCCTGATACTCTCCTCCTCTAGCTCCTTGAAATACTCAGTCATGACTTGGACAATTTTGTGGAGAAATACAAATACCAATGCAATATTGGCATTCTTCTTAGTTAAGCTAACTATGTATAGGTTATTTGTTTTGATATAGGCAAATGTGGAGTCCGCTGTTTGCAGTATTGGTGTTAACAGACTATCCTCCTCTTTCTCCATTAGGAGGGGCATGAATTTATCTATGACACCCATATCTATGTCACCACGATAGTTGCGGGAAATCAGAGCCTATAAAACAATATGCAATTTTAAAGATATTCTGGACACATGATTCTCAGCAGGACTCACCTTTCCCTTCATATCTAAAATAAATATTGCTGAGGATGACATTTTCAATGACCATCAGTTGGGAATGGCATATAATTATTGCCACCTGAGCAATAACCTGTCCGCTGCGAGAACAATCTTAATCCGTCGGTCGTTGCTATCTAGGAATGTGTTGTGTGCATAGTTTCACTGAAATGATGACGTTGTGCATGCGAACACTCGAGTCTCAAGTGGAAACGAAGCAAATCGGAGTTTGCTTAAACTGTCTTATGCAGCATTACTATTAGCCTTTCTGCACATCACAACCAATCACAACGAAACAATACATAACATTCCACACACCTAAATCGAGACGGTAAATTCGGGACCAAACTTATCGACGCACTGTTGCCAAGCTAAATCACACAAAACTAATCAAAATGAATATTCAAAATGATTAATCGACTTTATATCAACCGATGGATTGATAAATGCAAAATTGCATATACTTCAGCGTATTGTCTTTACAAGGATTTATTTTTGTTTGTCTTTGTCCCTTTTTCTACCCCTTTTCGGGTTTATTTCCCTACAATTTTTTGTTGGTTTTTAAGGATTGAACCAACGTCATTTTTGGATTTTCGTGATACTAAGGATTTAATTAATTAACTAATTGAAAATGAGGACAGAAAAACGCCATCGGTCTTTGGTTCTCAAAAGTAACGAAAGTCGCCATATTTTCGTACCAACTTTTAGAAGCCTCGGCGGCAGATTCAAAACTTGCGGTGCCGATTGCAGTTTATTCGAAACAGTAATCGTAGAGTGGTAGTTTTGAGATTTTTAAGGGTAGTATTGAGTGTTGGATGCGTCTTGGTGCGATTTTCGAGCGAGGCTCGTGGGGTTGCGTACCTTCCGGCTAGCTATTATACTAGATGTACAGCTGAATATTCGATTTTGTATTTACCCATCATGCAATATGAGTGGGAGTGAGTCTAGTTGGTCTCCTCCTAGTGGTGTTCAATGTCGATAATAAACTGTTGTAAAAAGCGGTGAAGAGTGTAATGTGAAGACGGGTGCTCAGTTTAAAGGGAATTTCGGAAAAGAAGTCATCGCATTCAAGGAAGATGTGATTTTGGAGAGAGAGGAGAGGGTCGTGGCGCAGCTTCGACGACGTTCATTCGTAGCAATCAGTTTGGTGACGTAGTCTCCATTATACCTGTGCCGTGCTGTCGTGCCTCGATCACTTTCTATGCTGGAATTAAAAGGGAGAAAAGGTACGCGTGTTAAGTAGCCGCATCCAAGAAACGGTTTCGCCATTCGCTATCATCCATTCTGGTCACTTGGCCCCCTCATTAGTATTTACGACATACAGATGTCTGCTGCTGTGAGGTATTAACGTTAGTTGCACTCGTCGTCCCGTACTATATACTACAAATCTACTATAGTATGTAAACATAATTCGCCCCGCCCCGCTGATACTTTCCTCTTATCATTAGTATTTTATGAATTAAGTCAATGGCATCTGGCCGCCTTCATAAACCTTCCTGTTATCTCGTCCTCTACGTGCGCCCCTAGTCCCATTCAACTTAACCTTATTTCTCATCCATCCAGTAAACCACCCTCGTCATTTTCTTTGAACTGAAATGCATTGTTCTTAATCACGCCTAATATTACTGCCTATTTTAATGTTAATTAATATTTAATCTACACCAATCCATACCATATCACTTTTTTTTACCTCTTTGATTTGCTTGTTTTCATTTCTAGAATGCAACCAAATGGCTAGCAGCAATTTAGTAACTTTCATATGAACTAAATACAGAGCAAACAGAATTATATCACGTAAGTCTCTTGATATCTTTTATCTACCTACAAAATTAGTCAGACTTTATCAGTACTTGTCCTAATGTACATGGTCTATATACTAAAATAACTAATCCATGTATGTTTCTTTATTTTACAATTTGTTCTTGTATACAAGGGAATAACTATAATGCTTATGTATGTTTGCATGTATGACAGAGGAGCAATTAAAAACATAATCACTATGTCTACTAAAGACCTCATGGATTCATGTTTGTAAGTAAATAGTGTGTGTACTTGTCCTTATCTCTCTCTCTCTCTCTCTCTCAATATATCACATTTAATAAGAGCACAAACCAATAAAATCGTTCATACATCCATTTTGAAATTGAATTACTTGTCATACTTGCTTCATCCTTTGTTTTCAACTAGCAAGCTGATTGTTATTAGTAGATGCATGAATAATTATAAATACACCATTGCTTTGGATAAATAACGCTTTTTCCACCATGACAGGCTCGTGAATCGCAGAGTTGAGCAAAGGCAGGAACATAGCATAACACACACAGAGATAACACAGAGGTAGGGGCTGAATCACACCATTACTCATTCGAAAAAATTAAATAAATAAGTGGAAAAAGGAGAGAAAGAAATATTTTTCATTGCATATGTATCAATCATTGGGTATTTGTTCCTTCTCATATATTGTTGTCTTGCAAATTTCGTTATCAGTTTTTCATTACGATTTTATTTAATACAATCTTTATAATTATAATCATTGCCATTTGATCATTCACTATTTTTTTTTTATATATTTTAGGAGAATTTTACAAGACAAAGGTCCAGATATGCAACATTACAAGTAAGTTTTGTATAAACGGTGACATGCATTTTTTTTTAATATCGATATACATGCATATATGGAGAGTTATTTTTTGAAAATATTTATCAAATATGAACATATATGTATGTATGTTGGTTTGATTTAACTTCGTGAATTTGCTGATTATATGTAACTAATGTTTTTTCTTCTTCGTTCTTGTGTTTCTAGGGGACCAGATGCAGGTGTCTCCGTGAATGACAGCGTTTACCATACGCATAGCAATGGTCATTCGGAACACTCGCCAAATTCTAGCCATATGTCTGTCCACAGTGATGAACCACTAGTGCGGACACATAAACAGCAAACGACACAACAAGTAACAACAGTGACTAAAGTTGTAAGAGAAGTTCAGCAATTGGGAGACAGTTCACAAGGAGAGTACGTGCCTGTGCCTCTCGGGGCTTACCCGCATCCAACTCATACCCGTCCGCAATACGTGGATTATATGGAACAACCAGCACATCATATGTATTCACAATATCATCCGCACCCACACTACCAAGATTACGAACATTACCCACCCAATCCGTATGGAGGATATATGGGATATTCTGCTGGTGTAGAGAGACCACCGACACCACCTAGTCCTAGCGAACATAGCGGCGCACCATCACCATTACCTCTGGCAGCTCAAACCGGTGCACCATACCTAAGTTCCGGATACGACGAACTCCCGGAACACTACAGAGTCACGCCGTCTCCAGGTGGTCCAATATTGGATCCCTATCAAGATGAGTCTGGCGTAGTGTATGGCTATGTTTCACCATCACCATATGGTACAACAAGTACACATCCGGGTGCAACATACGATTCCAGAACATACGAGGAGAGTATTAACGGCCCAGTTCCAGTCACCGCTCCCATGCGTATGTTCGAAGACGAGGAACTTCAGAAGCATATGAGCAAAATGTCTCTGCATGGACACAATATAGGACTTTCACACAATAGGACTCATGGCATGACTTCCCCTGGTAGCGTAGGCGGCGATGATGACCAGAGGGGAATGCGTTGGAGGGATCCAAACTTAACAGAAGTAATTGGATTTCTCAATAACCCCAGTAACGTTATCAAAGCGAATGCGGCGGCCTATTTGCAGCATCTGTGCTACATGGATGATCCTAATAAACAGAAAACCAGAGCATTAGGTGGCATTCCACCATTAGTAAATTTATTGAAACACGATAGCATCGAGGTGTACAGAAATGCTTGCGGCGCATTGAGGAACCTGTCCTATGGAAGACAGAATGACGAAAACAAGCGGGCCATCAAGAATGCTGGCGGCATTCCCGCCCTCATTACACTACTGAGACGTTCGAATGAAGCCGAAATTAAGGAATTAGTTACGGGAGTTATTTGGAATATGTCTTCATGCGAAGATTTGAAGCGCTCCATCATCGACGATGGGGTTACGGTCATAGTTACATATATTATTATTCCACATTCGGGATGGGACGTTCAAGGCAATTCTGGCGAAACATGCTGGTCCACAGTATTCCGAAATGCCTCCGGTGTACTTCGCAATGTTAGTTCGGCTGGCGAGTATGCCAGGAAAAAGTTAAGGGAATGTGATGGGCTTGTTGATGCGTTGTTGTTTGTTGTGCGTTGTGCCATAGACAAGTCAAATATAGGGAATAAGATTGTAGAGAATTGCGTATGTATCTTAAGAAATCTGTCGTACAGATGTCAAGAAGTAGAGGACCCCAATTACGACAAAAACCCTCTGCCTACGCAGAGTAGAGTCACAGCGAATTCAAAAGGTAATGCACGCATATATACATATATCACACAATTTTCTTTAATCTGTATGTTTTTAATGTAGGCGAGAATTTGGGATGTTTCGGTGGTAGTAAAAAGAAGAAAGATTCTCAGTCATTGGAAGTGAAAGAAAATAATACAAGTACTTCTGGCATGGGATCAAGCAGCATTGCTTCTAGAGGCGAACCTGTCCGAGGCACAGAATTGCTTTGGCAACCTGAGGTCGTGCAAGCCTACTTGGCACTCCTGCAAAGTTGCTCAAATCCGGAAACATTGGAAGCCGCTGCCGGAGCTCTGCAGAACCTGGCTGCTTGTTACTGGCAACCCAGCATCGAAATTCGCGCAGCAGTCAGAAAAGAGAAGGGTCTGCCCATACTGGTGGAGCTTCTGCGAATGGAAGTTGACAGAGTTGTTTGCGCGGTTGCTACAGCACTCAGGAACTTAGCAATCGATCAGCGCAACAAGGAGTTGATTGGTAAATATGCGATGCGAGATCTCGTGCAAAAGTTACCTTCTGGAAGTCCACAACATGATCAAGGCACCTCCGACGATACAATAGCCGCCGTTCTGGCTACACTCAATGAAGTGATCAAGAAGAACGCTGAATTCTCCAGGTCTTTGTTGGAAGCCGGAGGTGTTGAGAGATTGATGACGATCACCAAACAGAAGCAAAAGTATACACCAAGAGTACTGAAGTTCGCTGGCCAGGTGTTGTTCACGATGTGGCAGCATCAAGATCTCAGAGATGTATATAAGAAGCACGGATGGAAGGAGCAGGACTTTGTTACGAAAACAGTTGCTGCGAGGAACGCAGGTCCAAATTCTCCAAACAATGCAAATAGCACTCTGAACCGCCCAATGGCCTCACAGAGTGGCACTCGGTACGAAGATAGGACCATGAAGCGCAACGCTCCAAATACTGCTAGAGGAATGGCGCCTGTTTATCAGAGGGTGAGTTATTGTTTACTCATTATTGTTTTTCTAGAACTCGGTAAATTGGTAACATATATTCATGTGCTATGCTTTCAGAATGAAGACATCCCTATGGCTGATATGGCATACCCTGAACCACAACCCCCTATGGGGGGAGTGAGAGCTTATCCTGGCCCTGGCCCAAACCCTCCTCCAGTAAGTCACTAAAAACCAAGTTGCACAAGCCCTAACCGAGTCAATGAGTCAATTTAAAAAAGAAACAGAAAAGAAGGGTACATACATACATAAGTGAGAGTGATATGCGGACTTGTGACTCGGCACTCGATCCTTGTACTCTACTAATTTACTAAACTATAGTATACTATATGATTTATGAATGAATTAATTAATAAGAACACGAAGGCCTCACTTACATTCACTTAGACTGTATCTTGATGTTCATGTACAGATTTTAGAGTATATTGTAGCCTAATAATCCAATGTATGAGATGTAATTTATAAGCAACAAAACAACTATAACAACAACTGCTACTACAGTAACAAAAACAAATTTTAAATACACACACTTACACACATATATACACACACACAATACATACACATACATATACAGAAACACACATTCCTTAAAACAAGCAGTTGAGAAAAATACGCATACCTACAACTATATACTGTTGACATATACTAAACAAAAAAGAAAAGAAAAGAAAACACACGTTTAGTCTTCCTTTTTATTATTGCCAGATGAACATTTATTGAACGTGAAATTCAACAGTATGATTCTGAGTTAGCTAGTTAGAACATTTTGTTTTTATATATTTCCGTCTTTCTGTACCAATAGCTGTAGCATATGATATGAATAAACATTGATATACTAAACAGATAGTCCGGTGTGTTTGAAGGTTTTGGGGGTGGGAATGGGTGTATGGCAAAAAGGGCACACGGGCAGTGAGCGAAGGCCCTGACAGCAGCAGTACTCGTCGGCTTCCGGCCCAGGTAAGAGATAATGATGTTTGGCTGCTCGGGGCCTTTGGTTTACTGCACTGCACTGGCCTTGCCCGTGTCCGGCGGCGTCAGCAAACGAGAGGCCCTGCCCAGCAGCACCTTGCACTAACGCTTCATGCTTTTCTCCTCATCTGACCTTTCATTATTGTCTCTGTTCTGATTGATGACAAACAAACCTCGTCAACGATCGCGCCACCAACAACACCACCACCGAAAACACCAACAAACCCCCCCCTCTGCCCCGAGTCGTTATTGTCACGATGTCGCTTACTGTTTCTCGTCAACTACATGTCTCGTTTATTGTCTGTTTTGCAGCCTGAACCTCTTTATGCGCAAGTGAATATGGAAAAGAAACGAAACCGGCAGCCCAGTCTAGGCAATGCTAACCATCTCGAGGAACACCCAGCACCAACCGGAAAAGACTCTTGGGTCTAGTAGCTGGCATTTAAACGCTGTCACAGACCATACCAGCGAAACAAACAGATAACACCATGCGCTAGACTGGTTTTGTTACTTTATATTGTTTCGAAAATTAAGGGAATTATAACACGAAAGGATGAATACAAAAAAAATAAATAAGAAGAAAAGAAATATATTCAACGCAAAACTTTTTGACTATTTCCGCCTGCCTGACGACGCAAACGCCTGTTATATATCAATGTCGCAATTCTGTCGCAATTTCGGATATATAATGCACTGATTCATATTAAAAATGTAATAATATTTAGTTCGTTTACTGTGATGAGCTTCAAAATAATAATAAAAACAAATGATTAAATGCTGTATATATTTATTTGCATCTATATTATCTATCTGTAAACAATATATTGATTTATTATTATTATTATTATTATTATTATATTTTGTTTCCTATTTTAAATACATTTTATTTTAAATAAATTTATTATACTTAACTTATAATCAATATACACGTATATAAAAATATATAATATGTATTGTTTCGATTATGAATATACTATTGCAATTGATTCGATTATTTCATAGGTATTTCATATCTTATATGTACTATACTAAATTCCTTCAATACTATACGATGCGATATTAAAAATATTATAAATCTATGATAAATTCAGAACCTTCATACATTTATTCTTTATTAGAATAAATCGTACAGTTTTCGCATTTTTTATTACGTTTGTGGTCATATCCCAATAGTAGTCCCTTATTTTTCGAAAAGTCGATTAATTTGAACAATCGATTATTTCAAATCGATAGATCAGAATGTATTGGATTGTTATAAGCCTAACTCCGCCAATAACGTTCGAAATACCAATGAATTAGTTTATTTTGGTTACATCGATAAAAATGCGACGGGTATGTGAATGCATTGGAATGCATTTGCTATTGAGTGGACGAACGATGACGAATGGGCTCACAACCATATACAATGATGACTTCACTGATATATAGATGGAAGAGATGGAATGTGAGATTGTGTGTTCTAATATGAAACATCGTGATCAGTCCACCAATGGGATTCATTGGGTGGGTTGTGCTCTTGTTTGCTGTTTCATGGATATGAATATGAATGGCGGCGCCGGCGCGACCTTTACTTTCCTTCTCTAACCCGAGGTCCGTCCATATAACCGTTTCATAAGAACTGTGTTTCATTTATAATATTGATGTATTACATGTATGTGTGCAATGTGCTTGTGTTAAAATGATACCATCTATCGCTTTCGACAATATAAATTAAAATTTCAGCTATGTTGCGGCTGTATCTCAGCTGCTACTTCATTTATTACAATGCAATTAAATGGCGAACATAATATTTAACCAATTACAATGGCACCAATGGTTATTTATACAGTCTATATCTTTGCAATATTCTTCATCAGTGTCTGGTGCAGTATGTGGATCCTACATATCCTAGCTATTATCTATGGGTGCGTATACTAGTTAAAAACAACTTCTTCATCTATGGAAACAATCTTAACCTCAAGCTATCTATTGCATAGATTAGGAATGTTATTTTTTAAATTCCATTTGAACCTTGTGATTTTCATTTTGAAGGAGATATCGTCTGCATCAAAAACTATCTCAAATCCAAGCAGATGCACTCTTAGGTGTTTCCATTCTCAAACCACTCATGGGGGTTGATCCACATTTATCCAGCAACCTGGAATCATTCTTTACAATGAACTACCCAAAGGTTTCACATTTACTATAACACAATTCTTTTTTTCTGTAGCTGCATTATTAATTGATTTGTTTTTAGTATGAGTTATTATTTTGCATAGAAGATGAGAATGATCCAGCCATAATGCTAGTCAAAGGTTTGATGGATCGATATTCGAAGGTTGATGCAAAGCTATTTATAGGTGGATCCTGTGTTGGAGTAAATCCCAAAATAAATAACATGCATCGAGCATATGAAGCTGCTAATAATGAGTTTATTTTGATCTCTGATAGTGGAATCCGTAGTATGTATTGCAAGCCACTGACAAAATTTCCTTAATGTATTTACTTGATTATTTTCTAGTGAAAGAAGACACTTTGCAAGACATGATGAATTTTATGACAGAAACAACAGCTTTGGTCCATCAGATGCCTTTTACTAGTGATCGTGAAGGTTTTCCAGCTACTCTAGAAAAGGTATGTTCTACTCATATTGCAGTTGATCATAATATTGAAGAGTGTGTCTTAAAACAACAGTTCAGTGCTCATGTCTTTTAAATAGTCAACATGTAATGTTGACAGATATTTAATTCAATAATAATTTCTAGATCTATTTCGGCACTGCCCAATCTCGTATATACTTAGTTGCCGATTTAATTAGGATTAATTGCCATACGGGCATGTCCGCTTTAATGCGAAAGTCTTTGCTCGATGAGATAGGTGGTCTTAAGACATTCGGCTGCTATTTAGCCGAAGATTTTTTTATTGCAAAGTCGTTCACAGACCGTGGCTGGCGTATAAGAATCAGCAGCCAGCCGGCAATGCAGAATTCAGGCATTTGCGAGGTGAACAGTTTTCAAGCCCGTTTAACAAGGTCAGTAATAGAACCAAGAGAACTACGACAAAGAATGAGAACTGCAGGTATTTAAAGCTAAGGGAACGAATTTTTAGAATGGTATTTTGTTAGAAGAAACCTCGACTTGGTTTATCAAGCTTCATTGATAAAGTTCGCGCAAATATTGTTGATTATTGATACAATATGTACCTGCAAATGGGTCAATTATTTAGCTCGTGTACACAATGTTGAATCAATTTCTTTTGTTCTTCTTTCTTATCCACAACTTCTCCAGTTTCCGCCGTTTTTGATTTGTTGCCAGAGTGAAATATCAATGTCATTTAAAACACTTCCTATAATTAAATTATTAATTTCTCATTTTATTTTTCTTTGTGTGATTTGAGTAATATCAAAATAAATTATTATTGTTTTTTTCCCTTTAAATAGACAATTTTATAACTATTATGAACGAATCATCGTAATCTGTTCTAGAGCGAGGTGTCCTCTGTTGTATTGGTTTCATCTTTGTTTCCATGTTCGTACATTTCTTCTTTTTTTATATCTATTTATATTTATTTTTGTAAATCTATGAGATTTTCGAAAAACCTTAACTATAAAATACAAATTACGCAGTTTGAGTTCCTTTCTTTTATATTGTACTGCGTGCATAGATGTTTGTTTGATCTGATTTCCTCCTTCTAGATGGGCAAAATTAAGGGTGGCCATGCTGCCCACGTTCATTATCATAGAGCCGCTATCCGAGTGCCTGGTGAATGGATTTTGCGCCGCCTGGGCAGTCAATGTACTTCTGAAGTGGGAACCAGTGAGCTTCTTTTTGATACACGTACTACTTTGGTTCCTGTGTGATTGGATCTTATTGTCTATTGTCCAGGTACCGAAAGTTTATTAAATAGAAGTGAGCGATCATAACTAATGAGATATAATATAATATAATTCCAGAATGGTTCACTGCCATTTAATAAGTTTGATTTTGTCGTTGGATGGCTGTTTCGCGAGTGCTCAGGTCCGTGCTTATTCCTACATGCTTTATTGAATCCAGCAATAAAATGGCGATCCCGAGTTTTTCGGTTGGCCTGGGGAGGAATCGCAGAGGAGCTGAAGCCCAAAAAGGAATCGACTCTAAAGTATCAGACGTAACTTTGGGAATCAGCGCATTTGGAAGTCAACTCATTATTGAAATGAACAAAAATATAAGTAGACAACAAAAAGAGTAAACTTTTTCAATAATAATAATAGGAAACAAAAACCATTTGTATGTACATATAAATATTAATTGAAAGTGTCTTAAAGGAAGGGCTGAGAGATCTTATTTGTATATTTTAGACGAACACGTCTTAATGTCTCCGATATTACGAAGCGCCTCATATCTGTGGGTTATTTATTTACATTTCACTATCGTTTGAGGCCTATGTTCATTCTTTGCCACATTAGTATACATATCAGTTTATGTAATCTCTCTTTCTCTCTCTCTCTCTCTATGTATCTATTAATTTGGTAGGATGATAAAACATAGGAAATACATTAATTAATTAGTTGAAGAAATAAGCAGAAGGTACTAAATGCCCTGGGGTTAACGTTAAATTGATTTGTTTTGTTTTTGTTTTTATGAAAATGGGTCCAAACCTGATTTATGAGAAGCTGAGAAAGAAGAAGAAAATATGATATATTGAAAGATCTGAGAATTTAGTAACTGTTATGTCGCAGGGCCTATTCGACATCAAGCAATTCTTCTGTTTTACGCAGTTTAATTTTAAAGACATATTTAACCAATTGAGCTTTTTATAATAATATACGCATGTAAATTAAAATTGTATTTTTTTTTAAATGAAGGCTGCGATTGTCGCATTTTTATCTTCCCGGCGCTCAATTAACAAGAAACTTTACTTTTATTTAAAAATCTATTATTTTCTTGACAAGGTTCAGTTAAACTAGTATCTGCCAAACAATGTACCACGAGATATTCCAAATGTGCCGTGAAGTTAACAAGTTTGGTAAACACTGGTTTAAGTTATATAAATATTGTGGATGTGCTTATTTATCTGTTCGTATGCATAATGTTCACGTTTTTATACTAAACACAATTATGTTATATATAACAAAATTGAATGAAACACGGTGAGAGACTGAATTATCGGAAGTAAAAACTAATTAATTATGAAACAAAAGTTATAGTTTTGCATGGTGTTAATATTTAATACCAATGATGTGCTGCTGTATATTTTTTGATTTTCAAAGAAGGAATTACAATAAATTGTTGATATTTTTGAAGCAAACTGCTTCATTTCTTCTCCCTTTACTTGTTACATGATGTGTATGTGATAGGTAGGTATGGTTGCCTAAAGTATATTCATGAGAAAGAATATGCGCTTGGAGAGCTTTTTCGGTCTGCCCATCATCAGATTGCGAGGGTTTCTAGGTGAATGTTTGAGCTGACGCTCGGGCTATTGATTTTACGTTTGAAACAGACTTTTTGGCTATAATTGAGTTAATATTTGAACGTTTGGTTGAAAAATAACTGTTTGTAGATGTAGTTGCTAGCTTGTTCCCTTTTTTCGCTGGGATACTGCAGAAAGTAATTCATTATTATGTTTTGGAATATTTTATAACATGATTTAGTTGGCGTTCTATTTATTCACGGAGTAACGTTTTAAATTCTTCCATTATTTGAATTTTAAATGCATTGATGATGATGATGATAATAAAGAGAAAGATATTGTTAGTACCGCCTTCATATACCTGTTAGATGTATAACGCATGCGTTAACATAAGTACCTGTCAGGTAGTTGAGCACCTGTGGAATCGCGAGTCGAACGGAAAAAAAAGTCGCAGTGCTATAAACCGTGGTGATGAAAATGTGTTATTGCAACTAAGGAAACTAAGTAAACATGTCAATGATTTGAGCATCGATCAGGTGGGTAAATATTTGTTGGTAGTTTTATGGTTCGCTACAAGAAAGCATCCATCGGGTTCATACAATTTGCATTACTGTACCTGCACTTAAGTAAGTTTTGTGTTATGGAAGCCACCGTGGCTTATTCATTATGCATTTTCGAAGAGCAATAGCACCGTTTCCCAGCGCACGAAGCCCAAAAAATTGCACTTATCCGTGGATTTATATTTATTGTAAATGATGGTCGATTGTTGATGATGATGATGACTCACGGATTATTTATGCAGTCTAACTAAAAAAACTACAGATGTTAATAGCTAGGAATGGGCAATCAATAAATCATTTTTATATCATTTTGGTGCGTCTACCCGCGCACCCCATCAATCGAAACGCCATTTGCCCGTAAAAGTAATCGTAAGAAAGTTACGGATTGCTCACATTCCTCGCATACCAGTATGGCAAAGGTGTGGCTGAGAATGAAAATGACATGTTTTCTTATGTTTTTCAACAATGGACAACCTTGCGGCAGCGAAAATCTCTGGGAAGCTTCTAAAACATCGACGAAATGTATAAAAGAAAAAAAAAATGCGCGCTTTCTATATTTTCTCACAAACATACCTATACTATCGTACACAAGCGATATGGGAGCTTTAAAAATGTATTTTTTTTTGGAACAAGGTTCACCATGCTTATCATCAATATATACGTGTGTGTAAATCATGCAATTTTGTTTATCAACTAATTGATTTTATTATTTCATTATCGCTTTTATCAGCCTTCTTATTTGTAATTGTTGAATTCATTTCAGTTCGATATTAGACGCCAATTAGTGCGGATTTTTTATTTGACGTGTTTATATTGACCTTAATTTATGGTTTAATTAACGAATTTCCGTCATTACATTTTCGTGTTCTCAAATTAGTATTCCGACTGTAGGCAAGTAGATCCATGAACTGTCACTCTCTATATATGTATATACAGGTTTATTGTATGCAGTAAGTGGAATTTTTGGAAATAATGGCGTATCATCCGAACGGTTATTCCGGCGACGAGAGGGATTTGGACAGAGGAGATGACAGGAACCCGGACGACGGAGATAAGCCGACCTATCTCATGGAGCATTTGGCAACATTCACGGTCAACAAAGAAACCCAATATCCAACTGACGGCATGCGGAAGCTCCTCCAGCTGGAAAAATCTAATGGAATTTGGTCGCAGAAGATGCAGCTGTGCTTGGATCGCTCCTGGGTACTCATTATGGATTACGAAACCGGGGTATATATTGGATGGATACCTAGTGGTGGAGTAGACATTTGACATGGTTTTGCTATTTTAGTCGGTCATGGAGAGGTTCCCAGGCAAGTCGATACAGGAGCCTACGGCGTTCGCCACCCAGGATCCCATAGAAATGTACAACAACATCTTGGTTTTCATCGTATCCAACTCCAATCCAAGCTACCCACCAGAAATGCATATATTCCAAGTACGTTATAGACGGTTTTGAAGAGAGCGAGTTTACTGATTATGTTTTATTTATAATCTTTTACTTTTCTTTAGTGTCAAAGCATATCCGCGCAGGATTTGGTTGAGGATTTGAAAGACATGCAGCGAGGAAAGTATATAACGCGGCACAGGAAGAGCAGTAATCCGCCGCCGTCCTATAAACCTGCGCCTCAGCATGTTATTAGCTTGTCTCGCGAATATCGCGAATCTGAATTGACTTCCGAATTGACAACTAATAATGATGACAACAGCTCGACAACGAGCGAGCAGTACGAGAGGGATGTCACTGTACTGAATCACTGTTTCGATGACATAGAGAAGTTCATTGCTAGATTGCAGCATGCAGCCGCTGCCTCAAGAGAGCTGGAGCGTCGGCGAAGGACTCGCAAGGGGAAGAAGAGCGATAATGGTGATGGCATGCTCACTATGCGTACGAAACCGCCAGCCGAAAAGGAGTTCTTCGATATCTTCCAGAAGTTCAAGCTTTCTTTCAATTTGCTGGCTAAATTGAAAGCTCACATCCACGACCCAAATGCACCAGAGCTGGTTCACTTCCTCTTTACCCCGTTGGCTCTCATCGTGGAAGCCTCTCATGATACGTACTTTGATCGCCATCTACCGCAAAAGATTGTTTCGCCTCTCTTGACCAGGGAAGCTATTAATCTGCTTAACAACTGCGTCACCAGCAAAGAAACCGAACTTTGGCACTCACTTGGCAATGCATGGTTCACGCCAAGGTAATTTAATTACATATATATCGTCGGAACCGTTGCTTACATTTTATTTCCCCAGAGATGAGTGGAAAGGACACGTAAGCGCTTATCATCCCGTATTCCTGGATAAGTGGTCGCCTGACTATCCCGTCGTTGATGAACTCGAGCCCGATAAACATCGCGACTCCCACGACTACGATTTCAACGATTACGAGCCCTCCCAGGAAAATACATTCATGTATGATAATAGGAGCAACGATCCGCAAAAGGACCTCGACCACGATCCCAACATGAGCGCCTCCCGAAGTGATATAAGCGCCGATTCCATTGAAAGAAACGGTGCTGAGGATTTCAAAAGAGAGCAGGAAAAGTGGCTTGACAAATTAAATAAGAAGCACGCAATAGTCGTGCAAGTCACTTACCCAAGAACGGCAAACAATGACAAAGAGCTCTCTGTTGTCAGAGGGGAATATTTAGAGGTAACAGTCAGTTCGATATCACAAAGTTCTTAATCACTTTTCATATTATATAATTATATTGCATTCTACATGTAACGGTTCTTAATGACTACAGACAAGCGTTACAGAAATTCTCCACAGAAAATTTTCGATTGTAGTAATTTTAGAAATTCCAAAATTCCGCATATATTCGAGTCTTAATAGTTGTTGATTTTATTAAATGTATACATGTAGCAAATATTTTTCACAGATTTTAGATGATAGCAGGAAATGGTGGAAAGCTCGCAACTACCATGGTCAAGTCGCTCACGTTCCGCACACCATCGTCTCCAAAGTCAATTACCAAACGGGTATTTTCAACAATCCCATCTACTCCCAGAATCGACCAGTATGTTGTAGATGAGCTTAAACTGTTCTGTAGTAATTATTTATTTAATCCTCGTGTAGGAATCCGCCTCTGATAGATTCATTGAAGGACAAGGAGACCATCCTCACGTGGTCGCCGCTGCTCCTGCAGATATCGTCCGGATGGAGCGTATAGGTAAGAAGGGTGAATTCCGCTATTTCTAGTGTGTCGTCACGTCACGTCTCGTCTCGTATCATCTCTTCTTGTCACGTCTAATCCCGCCTCGTCTCGAACTATTCTGGGGGTGCTGAATAATTTGGGTAAAATATATAATCGCTTGTTTTTGTGTCCGTGTATATTGTTGTACTGTATGTATATTTAAGTTTAATAGAATTTGGCACCGCTCAAAAAAAAAAATACTCGGAACGAAATAATTGTAGAAACAAAAAAAAAACTAAAAAGAGAAGTGAAAACAAGTAACTTACATCACTATTCTTACTATATTCTTCGAATAACCAATTTAGTTTCGTAATGAATAAAATAATAAGAATGAAAACTAGAAACGGGAAAGAAAGAACGTTTAGAAGACCGTAGGAAATTATGTTCTGCTGTATTGTTTACTATAATAAGTTTAATACATTTCTAACTAACATTGTAAACAAAATATATTTATATTATCACGTATGAAATAAAATAAAATAATGTTTGTGTTGTCTTGTTATTTGGTTTTTGTATGTTTTGGCGTACACCTCCGACCTAGTCCGATTGTTGCTTTATATTACTGCATTATAATAATAATCCCATACAGGTAGATACATTATTATTATGTAAACTGTGACTAGTAGATTCAGTCCCTGCGCCACCGCCACCACCGCCGCCTCAGACGCCCATTACTCCAACACCTACCCTTAAACGTATTCCCAAACCCGTTGACAAGAAACCTGGCGAGCAAACTATGCAAGAGGAACTGAGCATGATCTTGCCGCTGCTTAGGGAGCGCAAGCGGAAGGATATCGATATAAAACAGACGCCGGAAGTTTATATAACACAAAAATCCAATCCCGATGAGGTGCAGATGTGGCTACAGGCTAAGGGATTTTCTGATAAAATCCAAAAGGTTTTCAAGGGCACCGCTGGCCACGAAATCCTTGGCATGAATAGAGACCACCTTGAAAAGATCTCCGAGGAGGGGAAACGTCTTGTATCCCAACTTAATATCCAGAAATCCGTTTGTCAAGTAAGTAAAATACATTACAACATAGTTAAAGTTATTGTTATTAATTTAAAAAAGATACGAATTTAATTTGTTTGCTATTGTTTATTGATATGAAATCATTGAAATCTTAATGCGAAGCAATTTCACTACACATTAAGTTCTATATCAGGAGCACAGAAGAAGCAGGTGCATTTATACAGGTCAACGTCTAGGAATGCCAATAATCTCAACAATGATTTAATTTCTTATTTCGCTCTGCGAAATGAATTATAGCTGAAATTGGATCCTATTTGTTCGATTATTTGCCACCTATATATCTAATCTAATCTATTACGTTCAATATATTGAGTCAAGGATTCAATATAACGTCAGACGTATTTAGAGATATTTTCTCAAAAAGTGATATTAATATGTAAACAATATATTTTCTTTACTCTAATAATACATACTTTGATATAAAGAAAATAAAACAAATATATTTATTAACAATGTTACTTTATGTTTCAGTATAAAACTTTTAGAAGCAGCGAGCTGCAGGCAATCCTTGCGAAGGCCAGGGAGAAGGCGGAGCAGTGATCAAGCGCCTTATATATCATCGTAAATATGGTGTTCCCTATGGTGGCTCATATTCAGCAATAATATTGATACACGTACAATTTCCAAGCCGATGGTTGTATTATATAATTTAAATTTAGTATCGTAGTACTAAATAAATGAGGGCGCAAAAGATTTGTAGAATTAATTGAAACTTACATGAATTTACTTCAAAATACAATATAGATACAATACACAAAGATGAAATAATAACAGAGAAGCGAATGTATATAGTTTTTACTTAGTATTAGAAAACTTCTTCATCGATTACTGAAATCAGTTGAGATTAACGACCCAACTTAAATCTAACATCATTTAATCATCATAATATATAGTCGAGAGGACTGCAATGTATTGCAAAACCGGAGGTATTCATAACATAGATATAAGTATATGAATCATGTCTTTTAAGTTAGGTTATCTGTATTTATAATGATCATTCGCTACGTGATCACTGATGAAAATGCGCAAAAGTTTAATTGAAAAATGATATTATATGTAATCAATCATATTACTATATAGTTGAAACTTGACAAATATTAGATTTTTGCAAGAGGTAAAATAACTTTGGATAAAAATATTAAACGTAATAAACCATAGTTTTCATTCAATTAAATGTTTGAAAGGATTTAACCTGATGTTTTTTTTTTGTATTCCTTATATTCTCTTCTGGTTATCCACACTACATTTCTGTCGTTCGGCAGTCCTCGACATTTCACTATGGGCTTTGTATTTATTACATTCGAATTGGACGTTATCAAATTACGTCTGGCAACATGATTGATGTCAATTGTCTCGTGACTCTATTGACCTGCGAGACTCTGTTACTCGTTTCGATGTAATACCCGGCCGTCTGATCGCTTTGATTCTAAGGCAGTTTCATTAATCAACATGACTAAACCCGATAATACTATCGTATGACTAATTTCCCGTTTCCCGTCATCCAAAATTAAATCTTCATTTCATGTTTACAACAATTAACTTGATTGAATTGAAAATATATGAAAAAACACAAGGTCACCCACTTCCGTTTTATTTGTTCGACGTTTCTGTTTTCATTTATCAAGTAATTTTCTTTTTGCAGTGAGTATAGGTCAACAAAGTATATGTATGTGCTGAATCAATATTGATCGGGCGTTCCACTGGGCAACGCCCTAGGTTCTAGGTATTTTCACTTGATTTCAATTTAATTAACAAAATATTTCAAATAATTTAAGTGTCTTTAGCTGAAATAAATATTGATAAATACTTGAATTCTTAGATCTTTACAAAAACGTTTGGAAACGCTCTGACGAATGATAAAACTAAATTGAATAGGGATTTAAAATATAATTAAATAATTAAATGAGATCTCGCTTTTACGCTTTCTTGACTTATTGCATATATTGAAAATGTAATAAGGTATTCAGATTTTATTAGTTCAATCAATGTGCAGAATCAATTTCAATGTCGACTCGAGCAGTTTATACTAATGCACGTCGAGGCATCAACGTATACGTAATTCATTCGCACCTTAATATGATGACATCATATTGTGTGAATTTGTTTACTTTCACTTCCTTCTCGGAATTACAATTACATCTGAAACAATAGTATGTTATAAATTTTATACTTAATTATATTGAAAATGTTATTGTATTTGGTACTTTTAAACATTGTAGTTCTTACAACAAATCGTTAAGTTTATCATGTGGACCAAACATGATATTTTTGCGAAACCGAATACTCTATTAATTATTCTTTCAAGTTATTGCAATTGCAGTTTGTGCAAACTACTGTTTAAAAAGTCGAGTCCAGATTCTTCGTCTTTGCCCGATGCTAACATTCTGAAGATGTGGTGTGCTGTGTACCATTACGTAGGGATATGTATAAATAATTTAGTAGATGATTCGTGTGCAGTATTTCTTAACTATCGGTAAGACAGTGTGTCAACTGTAATATGTAATAACTTGTAAATACAGGTATGACTTACTTATCTTACCACACTTTATCATGGTTTTTACTTTGATATATGTAAATTTGAGTGCATAAATTTGAAAAAATAGATTAAAATGAACAAAATACTTACTTACAAAAACTTTTCAATGTAGACATCACAATTATTTAATAAAAAAAACGAAACAAATGCAACAAAACTGATCTTCCAAAAATTTGGACACTTAATTTTTTTTATCAATATATATCTCCTTGTAACAAGTTAGAGCTTCGTAAGTCTGGGATTACCTGTATATAAATATACAGCCACACTCCTAACTGTTTCCCTTTGATCTTCAATTCTTAAAATGTATTTGCAAAGAAATTCTTGGTGAATGTTAAAGATTATTTAATATATGTGAACCTAAAGCCCTATATAATCGATGGAAGGCGAGCCAAGGTCACAGCATTTATTCATATTAAATTTACAGCGTGTCTATCTTCCGGGTTTGCGAAATGTATACAATGGTTGTTAAGTATTCCGGATCAATATTCAAGTATCCTATACTATGCGTGCCCCAGGAAATTAACTCCGAAAACGATATAGAAATCAAGGCGATATTCAATTTTCATTTCCTACACGTTAATATTATGCATATTAAAAAGGGCTAGAGAATTGTACCCAATCTTTGTTCAAACATAATTTGAACTAGGAAAACTTTCAATTTGAACTTCAAATGCAAGTGAGGCAGATGAGAAAAAAAAAGAGTAAGAGATGAATTTTTTTTGCAAAATGTGTTATCTCACTTATCTCTTATGTTTATCTGTTTCAACAAATTGACATCTACTAGAAATTCACATTACACTTCTTTTTTTTATATAATCAGCCTTTCGTGAATATGAAATTTCTTAATTTATTCATACAATTATTATTCTCTAATAATTGGAATCATAAAACTAATTCAGTTTTACACTATCTCTTGGATAATATAATAACAATATATAATTATATTAGATGCGATAGTATCTCGTCAGATATAATAAGGATAAACTAGGTCTAGTGACGTAAATTATTTCGACATATGTCAAGAAACAACGAAATTGCTATTACATGACTGATACCATTGAAATTAGCGACGTACGATTATCAATGGTAAAAGCACATGATTCAAATCCTCTTATCTGCACTTATGAGAATTTGCGTCATCAGAACGTAATACACGCACAACAATCTTTCTACGAAAGTTAAGAGTTATATTACATTTTTAATTATTTGATTAATGTAGATGTCATATAATTTGCACATAATTCGAATGAGTGTACAGTTTCAAGAATTTAGGAATGTATGGTGAAGTTGGAATTGTATTAATAAATTAAATAAACTACAGAAGATTATAATGGTAAAAACTTCAATTGGGAAGTTTTCCAAAAAGCAAATGTATAAGCAAATAAATAAATATACTATGACATAATAAAAAAAATATCATAGAGGGTATATTTCATTGTACTAATGTTAGGCTGAAAGTTATTGAAAACAACGTTAATTCTTGAGAGAAGTGTTTGATGCTCGCGCATCAGGTATCAGCATATCACCACTTCACTCAACCTGTCTGATGTAAGATTAAATAAATGGATTAAGAAATGCCACTTCTCTGTAAAACAAAATATTTGAATCGATATAACGATTAGCTTGGCGTGGCTTTTCGTGCATTTTTTTTCCCGTTCGTTTTTCACCTTCTTCTTTTATTTATGATTAACGGCCGCTTAGGAAGGGTAATAATTTAGCTATTGATTTTCAATCGCTAATGGCAAGGCAAAATTGCCATCAATTATTGAGACCTAATTAAAAGGTTGAATCCAATAGGAATTGCAGCGCACGTGCGTTTATTGTTTAAACTTTCCACTTCTTTCTATTCCTTCTATCTTACATCTAAATGTTTGTATTCAGTTCATCATTCATTAATATTTCTTTCTCTTCGCATCGACTTTCTTATATTCATTATGGATGAACGTTAAATTTTACCAAACCCAAACCCTCTCCCTCTTTGTAATAATAGAAATTCAATACAATTTCAGATTTTCTGTATTCATATGTACGTGTTTCCTCCTTTAAATAATTTCCTCAATTGTTAACAACATCGGGTAGAATTCACTGTCGAAATTAATTAAAATTTAAACCGCTTCCGCGTACTATTTGAAATGCAATTTAACTTTGTCATTTTGTTTTGTTCTTGATGTCCCTATAAATTTGAAATTAATTGGCTTGCCAGTTAATAGAATGAATTGCAGAAATACCGACTACAAAATTATTCCAGGAAGCCTAGATTATTATACAGTTTTTAATAGAAGTGACCAGTTTTCGTGTTAGGTAAAATAAGCACGTCGATTTGATGAATGTTCGACGAAATTCAAATACTTACAGTCTCATTTCAGTTTTTCATACCATTTTTACGATGAAACATTTAGAGATAATTAAATATCGTTTAATAATCTGCAGGTTTTGCATGAGAAGAGAGTCAAAGTTAACAAAAAGAGGGAATACAAGAGGCTGCGAGAGCCACAATTTCGATTCGTCGATCAGGTTTAAAAATAAAAACCCGAGCTGTTCTTTCTCTCGCACTCTCATATTCTTTTCTCTTCTCCCAGCTGAAAACGATGACGTACAGAAAAGTGTTGTAACCGGTAGAAATACTACAAATCTCTGCATCAATTCAGATGGAATTTAAGCATCAATTATTGATTGCGATCACATAATTCACATTGAAGCTTTTAGACAATCTGAAAAACTGTGCAAATTGTTGTAACTAGGTCTTTCCGTTTTTCTAATTTATGGTAAGTATGGCAGAGACATACAGTGGGATGGAGAGATGGGAATAGATATATATATATATAGAGAGAGAGAGAGAGAGGAACAAAGACGGGGATAGAAAGCAGGGCCTTACATAACGCCAGAAAATTAATCGATAACTCGGCGTGCAACATTTGCAAGAGGACGCGTTTTGTAAGCGCCAACTGCCGCCGTCCCGTGGACAAAAACCAAACCCCTCCACCCTCCTAAACGCACACAGGTACGCAAACATACACACACACTCCCTTAACACAACAACCGACCACCCGCAGCCCCTATTTTGTGCAGACTTCTGATCACAACGAATCACTCTCAACCGACTGCTCTTATTCCCTCACCTTCAATTTTGTGTTATTAATTTGCGATATGCAGCTCTCGGCCAGTTCTATTGCAACTTGCAAACAGCCTATCATTAATCATAACGTTGCAGCCGTCGCCATAGCGCCCGTTGTACAACCCCATAATTAAACGTGAAACTCGATCAATGCGTGTTGCATTTAAATGTATTAATTAAAATTATAATTGGTCCATAAAATGAAATCATAATTTCTAAGCGTCGCTGCTAATTAACACTAGATTGTTTTTTTATTATTCAGAGACAAAAATAACTATATATCCGATCAAATTAAATATCGTCACTTCTGGTTTGTTTGCTACTTTATTGTAATTCCTAGTCTGAGGCGGAAAAGTCAATTGATTTCCGAAATCAAGATCACATTAATCTCGCAGTTACCCAAACTACATCACTCTTCCTCACCTCGATAACGTAATCCTTTATTATGCACCATAACGGTCACCCATCCTCGCAGCAACTTGACAAGTTCTGCTATATAAAAATTAATAAGTGCAACAATGAAATACTTAAG